CTATAATATTTTTTTTAATTTTTTGTGAGAGGGACATGACAGTATTTTTATAAAATTTTGATTAACAAAAAATGTTCTATTACTAAGTAGCATAAATTCAAAAAAAAAAAAATTAAAAAATTGAGTGTACCGTAGTCGTCCATGTCAACTCACACCTTATTATATTCATTATCATCTGATATTATTAATTTATTATCACGCGTTATAAAATGAATAATGATTTACGGTACAATAAATTTCTTGGTAAGTTTGATTTTGTACGAGTTATAAAACCATCAGACAGTATGACGGTGATATTCGAATTAAAAAAATTCTCAGATACAGCAAGTCGTGTATGTGCATACAAATGATATGTAAGTAACGTATACGAGACATATGCCCTTTGAGAGAAGGAATCTTCATTTTTTAAAAAATTGGGATATTCTTCTTAATCGTTAGATTTAATTTTAATGAAATTATGTGATTGAGATTAAATCAAAGGCTACATAATTTCAACCATAAAATTTTATTAAAGTCAAATCTAATGATTAAGATTAAGATGATAATCCTATTTTTTTTGAAAAATGGAGATCCCTTCTGTTTTATATATATATATTCCTCTCGGCTCCCACTTCTGTTTCTTTCCTTCTCGGCGGCCGCTGCTGAATCAGTTACCTAGAAAGGCTGCATCTTCATCCCCTCTCTCTCTCTTCCTCTCTCTTATGCGATCATCTGTTCCAGCTAGGCTTTAGATCCTAGCGTCTCCGCCGAGTCAAATCCATTTGAATCGGAGTTTCAAGTTGGGGATTTTGTTTTCTTCCGATTTCAATCTGGTAAATTTTCTCATCCTTTACCTAATTTGACCGCCGATTGTAGCTGGATCTGAATGCTTTCGGATTTTTGTCTCGGTTCAAGTTTTTCTCGGCTCGATTTTGGTGTTTTGAGCGATGAAATTTGGAATTGAGCTGTTAGCTCAATAATGGTGGAATTTGAAAAATTGGGGATTTGAGCTTTTTGGGGCTTCTGATTTTTTAGGTAAAGCCGTGAAATTGATGTTGGTTTTGCTTTTTTGATGTATTTGGATAAGGAAATTAAGGATTTTTTGTTTTTGTTGCTTCATTATTCATGTTTGAGCCGGTAGTTTACGATGGTGGGTAGTTTTGATTGGATTGTAACTATGAGCATGTTTGGGACCGCTTTTGAATTGGGAAAAGCATTAAAAGTGCTTATGGATCATAGAAGCGCTTTCTGGAGATGCACGTGTTAAGTTCTTCTTCGTAAAGAACTTGGATTTTTTCTAACAAAATCATAGGGTTTCTAATAAAAGCACTTCTAACAAAAGCACTGATGAGCACAACTGCGTCCTATAAGAGCAGTCCCAAACCAGCCCTATGAATTTGTTCGATATCATAGCTGAACTTTCAGGTCTGTAATCAACTTACAGAGTTTCAGTCCTTGTTATTACACTGTACTTAATGTTTTGGAAAGAAAGAGAAGCAGGTTAATACTTTGTTATTAAAGGAGAAGTACCAGGTTGATGCCGTACGATAATTGACGAAAATGGCATTGTCGTAGTTATGCCATTGTGGGAGGTGCATCCCTATGTTAGTTTTGATTTCTGGTTGTGGAAATAGTTATATGTTGATTTTACGGTCATCTTTGTGTTGTTAGTATTTATTCTCTTCAATGACATGCGTTGAGGCTTCGTTTGTATTGACGTTATCATTTGTTTCTAATTGTTGTTTCAGTACTCAAAAGTAATACTTTCAAACTATGGAACAAGTTACTTTCAGTGTATTATCTTTTGGGGGCCTCTGAGATTTCGGAATTGTGTGCTCATATGCATTTAATCACGTGTGGTGTTGGCTTAAATTCTTGAATGTAATTGAAGCTTTTCTTTTTGTTTGTTGAATATATGAGATCTTCTTTTTGTAATGTTGTCATTGCTGCCTGTTCTTGGTATGGACTTAAGTTCAACACCATCTGTAATCTGTAAAGCAGGTTGTTGTTCTCTTACTCATGTTAATGTGGACTTTTTTCTGTTTCAATAGCTCTGCTACTATCATATTGGGAGAGCATTGGAGTCGGGAGAGTGTGAAGCATCTTTGAGAGCTCAAAATGCCTAAGGATAGAAGGGGACGTTCTGTTTCTCGTGATAGGTATAGAGCATCTCCTTATCCATGCAGCTCCAGTCATACAAGGTGGTCGTCGCCCAAAATTCCTTCAGAAACCGAGGACAATTTGAAAGAATGGGAAGAAGCCAGATGCCCCGTTTGCTTGGAGCATCCACACAATGCTGTTCTCCTAATATGTTCATCCTATGAGAAAGGGTGCCGCCCTTACATGTGTGACACAAGCTACCGCCATTCAAACTGTCTAGACCAGTATTGCAAGTCATTTTCGGCAGAAACCTCACCAACTATCCCGCCAGAAGGAGCAACTCAGATTTCAGATACTCAGTTGTCTCCATCTGAAACTCTTGAATCAACAATTACTCAAGTGCAAAATGATATTACAATTGAGGATGAGCTCTCCTCCATGAATTCCGTATCTTGTGAGCATCAGGCAGAGCCGAAGCTTGTGTGCCCCCTCTGCCGTGGGGAGATAACAGATTGGATTATTGTGGAGCCTGCTCGTTGTTTCATGAATGCAAAATCAAGAAATTGTTCTTGTGAGACATGTAATTATAATGGAACCTATGCAGATCTCAGGAAGCATGCGAGGCTGGAGCATCCATTAGTGCGCCCATCAGAGGCAGACCCAGAGCGACAGCGTACCTGGAGGAGTTTGGAGCGACAGAGGGATATTGCTGACCTGTTCAGCTCAATCCAATCTTCAGTTGGAGAGGATAGGGGTGATGATAGCAGTAGTTTGCCGGCTGATGACGGTGCGGGCTGGCTAACCATATTCTTTCTAGTTAGAGTAGTTCGACCTGGGTCCAGTTCGAGGAGCAGCAGCTGGTATGGAACCACAAGAACCAGAGCACAAGTTAGTATGAGAAGGAGATCAAACAGACTATGGGGGGAGAGCTACGAGGGTGAAGCTGCATCTTCAACCGTAGAAGAGGATAACGAGTCTTCAGACGGTGACTCAGGTGTCAGGAGGCGCAGTGCGCGCCTCCGGCGACGGACAACACCAGACAACCACCAGCCATGATTGCATACGTTTGAGAGATCAGCGAATCTGTTTCCTTTCCGTCGCCCTCGTTTTCCCGAAAGGTTTGAAAGTAAGTTTGGTCCAGTTCTGTGTTGGGCAGCTTTCAGTAGCTTACTGATTGTTTTGCTTCTGCCCGGTGAAACCTCTTCCTTCACATTCTGTTAACGAACCAAAGATTATAAATATGATGCTGAGAGATATATTGAAGAAATGTATTTATGTGTTTATTTCGCAGGACTCGCGTATTTGTAATTTTTCTCCGGCAATTAACGAGAGTACCTCTTTGTACCGCGAGAGATTTACATGAAACGGGATGATATTTCTAACTTATCATGTGTCGCTACCTCTTTTAGCTGTTTCATATGAGAGGAATTTACATGAATGTGTTTACCGTTACGTGGCGTCTTGGATTCAGTCTAAGGTTTTGGTTTTAATTACAAGTTTTATGCTGGAGTAGAAGTGCTTTTACAGAAGCAATTCAAAAATTAGAAAAAAAATGCAGAGTGCGGTGCAGGATGGTCTCAAGGTCCTGTACTCGTGTTGGACCATTACGTGAACCGGGTCCGGTTTTCTGTTTTCCACTCATTATTTTAATTCAATTTTCTTGTTGCGGTCAAAGGACGAAAGTGCCACTCCCTTTCCTCAATGACCCCACGTGACTACCCTAAACATCTCGCGAGAAAGCGCTCCAAAATTTCTCGCTATTCCTCAAACACCTCCCGCGAAATTCACAGTCGGTCAAACAACGACAACCAAAGTGGTCCACCAGTCCAAATTTTTGAAAGTTCAAAAAATTACAGCTTCATGCTATTGCTATTCGAAAAAATTAAAATAAGTGCATTTACTTTTTAATACTGTGCTCCAGAAAAAAAAAAAATTACAAAGCTAAGGTAGGTCAGCCGACCTTGCAAGCTCAAAATTCTCCATAAAAAAAGTTAGGCCGTCTTTAGTCCTCCTGAGCCACCTTCTAACTTCTCGACGAATAACTTTTATAAGGCATTGGGCAAATTAGCTGTCAACCTCATACCTCTGTATGTGTTTCTATAGGCATATATCGATAGGTTCAATCGTCAGGTATTTGTGGTATCATTGCTCAAAAGCTATTGATATTAATAAACATGCTGGTTCGGAAGTTGTTCGCATCTGTTGATAGGTGTGCAATACGACTTGACAAACGATCTCATGCTTACCAAGGCTTGATGAAATGCTAATTTGGATGCTACTTCGTCTAAAATATTTTGCACGCTATTCTTACTGACATCCCAATATTTTTTTTTGGTCCGTCACTGTCTAGAAGAAAAAAAATACATAAATCGCATAAAATGATTTTAGTAATTTATCATCATGTGACTTCAATACGTTATAATAACGTGAACCAATTTTATCTAAGATCTATCTTCTCAAAGTAAATATCATCTACTACTATTATAACATGATTTTTAATAATACTTTCGCATATCAGGTAATACGAAATTTTTAACCATTAAATCTTTAATAAAAAATATGAAAACTAAAATGTGACAGGACAAAATGTCTGGAGGATTCAGTATTCCGAACACCATGGAGTTTTAGTGTTGTAAACGTGTGAAATAGTATAAACGACAGTCATACAGATTTCTCCACCTTGTCTTCGCCCATGATGGCCTTCCATTTTTGAAAATAAACTTTTATTTTTGTTTGTTTATATTTATTTTTCGTTTTTAATTTGTTCATCAAAAGCCCCAAAGCTTTCTATATTTTTCCTCGTCTCGCCGGGAGACGGATCTCTGAACTGAAGGCGTCGCATTTAACATTCTCTCTGTCTGTCCGACGGACTGGGAAGGGGAGGAGAAGAACAACAACACAAAATTGGAAACCTTTGTGGGGTTTTTTTTTCAGAAATTCGAAAAGAATTGGGGGTAAAAATGGGGTCGGAGAGCACCTCTCTACGCGGAGGCGGGATTGAAAACAGCAGAAAGGGCAACGAGACTCAGGTGGTGTTGAATGTCTACGACCTCACCCCCCTCAATAATTACACCGTCTGGTTCGGTCTCGGAATCTTTCACTCCGGTATTGAAGGTAAAAAATTCTAGGACCTTTTCGAATCCTTTCCTTTTTTCTTTTCTTTTGAAAATTCTGAAAATTGTTTCCTTTCTGTTTGATTTTTCGTTTTTTTATGTGTTTTGGTGATCTGGGTATCTTTTCATTTTGGTTTTCTCTGTTGGGTTTTGTTTAGTTAATTTTTGGATTCGTTTGTTTCCTTTTCTGGGCATGCTTAATTGCGATGGATATGCATTTATTCTTATTGTTTATGTGTTTAAAGATTGGTTTTTGAAGCAAAAAAAAAAAAAAAAAAGATTGGCACTTTCAATACTTACATGGAGAAGGAAGGATGCCGGGTTTTCGGATTTGTTCGACTCTTATTTGCTGTTTTGAAGTATGAATGTGCTTACATATTTAAGGTGTAGTTGTGTTGTGATATGTTATTGAGTACTTTGGCTTCTTTTGCATCCAATATTAGTTAGATGTGTAGCAACATGAATTGAAAGGTTTGCACCAGGATCTAGAGCGATGCTGTTGTATACCATTACGTATAGTGCAATGGTGATCAAGTTTTACAATGTGAAATGAAATTGTTCAGCTTTTTTGTTCCTTTATGCTTGGTTATGAAGAACTGCTAATCGGAATGTGCTGCATATCGTGGTGTGTGTGTATTATGTATGAGCCCCAGTTGACTCTATGTATTATTGTACCGCTACTTTCTTCTGCCACGTGATGATTCTGGGCGTATCTTAGGATTAGGGGAGGTATTAGAGATAGATTTCTCGATGTGTTGGGAGATATTTTCCTGGTTGATTGAGTTTGGATATTGTGTTGTTATAAGCTTTTATGAGAGTTGTTTTACAAATTGAACTGAATCTTGAATCATCCTTTCTGGAAATTGCACTGACCAATGAGTGACTTCGTTTAATTGTTGTTCATTTCCTTGAGATGCAAATAAGGAGAAATTATGTTTAACGATATCATCTGTCTGTTGTATAAACAGTCCATGGCAAAGAGTACGGTTTTGGAGCCCATGACTTCCCAGTTAGCGGAGTTTTTGAAGTGGAACCAAGGAGCTGCCCAGGTTTTATTTATCGATGTTCCATTCAACTTGGCCGCATAAATATGCCTCCCTCTGAATTTCGGACATTTATTGAGAATGTTGCGGCAGAGTATCATGGGGATACCTATCATCTCATCACCAAGAATTGCAACCATTTCACAGATGAGATGGCATTTAGGTTGACAGAAAAACGGATTCCTGGATGGGTGAATCGGCTTGCTCGTCTAGGTAAAGAGAACTTTTCTACTGACTATTCTAGTAGTTCTATATTTCATTGGTATGTGTTAGCTGGAACTCATTTACGTTTGCATCATTTTTAATTGATTTAGTCTGATATAAATCTTTGAGATGAATGTAATTACCGTATGAAATAGTTTCTTTTCTTGTTCAGGTAGGACTGTATGAATGTCTTTTAAAACCGCAAAATCAAAATCATATCATTTGTGAGGGTTGGATTTAGATGCTTTCATTTGTGTCTTCATCTTCTTTTGTAATATTCTGCGTATTATTTATGTGCTGCCCTTTACTTCTCAAGGTGATTGGTAATTCTCGGAGACATGCAATCACAAATGGGTATGATTTATTTCTCTAAGTGTTTTTAAGACCATGTTTTCATTGTAATTTCAGGTGCCTTATGCAGTTGTCTTCTCCCCGAAAGCCTTCAAGTGACCACTGTTAAACAAATACCTGAATACCATCACGAGTCAGGTGAGTTCCCTCGACTATTTTCTACTCAGTATTATAGTGTCTGTATTCAGTGTGCTGATTCTAGTTGTTACATCCCTAACGTTCTTCTTTTCTGGGTCCAGAAGATGGTACTGAAACTCTATCAATCACAACGCCTCGTGAGTCAGCGGAAGTTGATGACGATCAAGAAAAACGCCTGCTGTCCCCACTGGCTTCACTTTCACCGGTGGCGGGAAGTGGAGATGTAACTTTTGTTAAAGAGGCTCAAAAGTGAAACAAACCCTCAACTTTTGCAGATAGAGGAAGGAGTCACCCTTCGGGAAAAGGGCGGTTTGGCCAGTTATTGGTGTGACTGTCATTGTTATGGATGCCTTACTTGGAAGGAAAGTACATGCAACTCTTTTCCAAAAGAAAGCCTCAATTGTATTCATTATCTGTGTGCACAAGCGTTCAACTAGACGCTTGTTTTTCTACTATTTCGGCCATTTTTTATTTAATTTTTTTAACGGAGGAATCCGAAATTAGGTCATAGTTTGGTATGATTTGTGATTTGTGCACGAGGGAAGGGAACTGTTTTTGCAAGTGGAAACGAATCTGAGTGTTTTAGTCTTTGATTTCTTCTGTAATTTTTTCAAATGTTGGAATGATGCTATAAATTGTTTCATTTTGTCTCGCAAGAGTACTCATCCGCCGAGTTCAGATTTAATTTCTTCTGTAGTTTGACACATATGCAGAAATAACTCGACAAGAAATTGCAAATCTCAGGCAGTTAAGAGGAACATCGACACATACGACATGTTCATAATTCAAATAATGAATGTCAGTTACACACAAATATCGATTTAACCAGTGCCACCAGCCAAATAATAACATGACATATAGGTTGTGCTAAACACTCGAAATTATTGTTTGCTACATACTTCCCTTCTGCTTCCTCTTCCATTGCCGTCACTCGAGTTTTTCACGGCTGTACTACGAAGAAGTCCCGTCAAGCCCCAGTTTTGATCTTAGCCAAGCACAGACCTCGTCCATCTCTTCCGGGATTGTATAATGACCAAGCCTGCATATACTCAAACCAATCATTCTTGTATTTCGTCGCCTTGATAAATTCATATGCAACAACTTTTCGACATAATCTAAGAATCACATACGCATTATAGGATTTGAATGTCATGTCCTGAAAGCCATTTGACCTTAAGGACTGTGACGATTTCTCACCAAACTTGTAAGGAACCACATCATCACCTGCAATAAATCATATCCACAGCATTATGAACTAGGCCCGGTTTAGGATTTAAAATACAGAGCACCTACGCAAGAAGATGCTAGAGATAAGGATGTAACAAAGCTTTTTCTTCGATGCAGATAATTTAAAATACAAATAAAACGAACAATATTTTTACACGAGAGATAATCATATGCATACTTTTCCCATGACATAACAAAAGCGGAATGGAGGCAGCACGCCTTGCAGCTTCATCTACTTCTTCTAACTTCTTACTCAAGGTCCTGAAAGAGAAAAGGATTTGTAACTATAGGCACGTAAATACACTGCAAAAACAATCCAGCCGAGATAAGGAGAGTGTGAGAGGACAAACTTGGAACATGGAAGCCATCCGCTTAGTCCAACAACCGCACTCAGATTGCATGGGTATTGATTACCATTCCCATATTTTCTTGTAACAAAGCAGGTCGCAGAGTATAGGGCAGTAGCTGCACCCATACTAAACCCTCCAACTCCAAGTTTAACTGTAACAGAGAAAATTCAAAAGCGTATATGGTGTTAGAATAATGGCATTAACAGAGTTTTGTAGACAAGACATCCTGCATAGAGTTTACTTTGAAAAAACGCTAGTCATAATTTACAAGCTTGTCTTTTCAAAATATCTCATCAATCAAGAGGGGCAATGAAATTCTAAGCATCCGTGCAGAAAAAAATCAAACAAACGATAGCAGTAATTGGAGTTCATCAAATGCTAAAATCGAGCAAGAAGAAACCTACTGTCATCAGGCTCTGTTGATAACAAATTTGCAACATGTGCTGCAGAAGCATCCAAACCCTCTACATCATCCGGAGCATCTTCTGAAAATTCTCCAACATCAAACCCTGTTTAAATCACATAACCGCTTTAGTGGAGTTTATTACTTTCGATTCACCAAAAACCGAATGACATTTTCTTTTTCTGCGACTATAATCAGATCAACTGCTGAATATACTTTAACGTGTGGATTTATTAATGAAAAAAACTTACAAGCAGTGGAGGGAAAGCCACCAAAAACCGCAATTGGTTGAGTAGGGGCAGTTGGACAAATCCACTTAATCTGCATCGCATAATTTTCACCATAAGTCATTGACAGTAAATTATGAAAATTCAATTCAAATTGTTTGTATGTATTTATTCTTACATTTGGAAGAGGGAGGGATTCCAAGAGCTGCGACCAGCTGTCAGACAGAAAAATATAAATCTTAAGACTTCCAAGTGTGTACGTATATGAAAAAAGGATAAATCTAATTTCTAAAGATCATGTGAGTCTCTAGTTTTAATTCGCAAAAATAAAAAAAATATTAAAAAAATTACTGTTCTCTTTTACGAAGGAACTTCGAAATTAATAAAAAGTCATTTAAATCAAAAACTTCCTCGGTTTCCTAATTACCGTGTAACCTTAAAAAAAAAGGGTAACATAAGCAATGAGGCCAAAGTATCACCTTGAACCATTATCGCCGAGGCCATGTAACCAAACTACAGTGGCCTGGTGTTTGCCTTTAGGTCTGACTACATAGGTTCTTCCAAACTCAAACGCCCTTCTAGCAGTTCTACCACCTGAAATCATGATACCCTAATGAGAAAGGTGCAAATAACAGAACCAATGAAACCTCAGGCAAATGGATAAGTATGAAAGATAGCCCAAAATCGTCAACAAGGAAAATGGAAGAACCATAAAAGCGTGAGTGATCTCTTCGTTCTTTTGCTAGAATATTTTACAAATTCTTATAAAAGTATAGGATAATTTTTCTTATTTTTGCTAGTTCTTAGATGGTAGATTATTACTGTTTGAGTAATAGTTTAATTTAAGAATAAATGGGATCCTAGTCATATCCTTCTAGCTCATAGGATATACGAGTCGACTCCTGTTGGTGTCAAGTCCTTTGACACGATCAATTAAATAGGTAGGGTTAAGCCGTTAAGGCCAACTATCGTTTGACACAAACACAAAATGACATCACTCAGCGACCACTCATGGATATGGCAATCAGTATCAAAACTTCTTTACCAAATGATGGCTGCGCAAAGAAATGCAAACAAACTAACCAGAACCAACAGAGGGACCAGTAAAGCTCATATTTGGTTCCTCAAGAAAATACCACTGACCAAACTCCTCTGCAGCAAGTGTACAGAGCACAGATCCTGCAACGAAGAAACACCAAAAAATTCATATTCGCCGGCTTCTTTGCGAGCACCTAAAATTGCTTATTTATAAGCTCTCCAACGAAACCATAATGTTAAAACATATAAAGTACACATAGTTAATTAACATGTTGGAGCAACTCCGATAGCTCAAACAAGCAGTTGCATAAAATTACTTCGACAGTGCTAGCAAACATTTAACATTCAGTACATGATCATTGGAAAACTAGTGAGGTCAATATGTAACTAGTTCCTAAACTCCGGCCTCAGGAAATACAATTTGAGTGCTGTCAGCTCATTATAGATTTCCATCTGTACCTAGATTCGCCACTGGCTTCTCACTCGTGGCAAGGCTTTTGATTGTAAGTAGAAGCAGGGCCGGGCGAGGCTAAGGCTAACTTCCCTCCCCCGACCAATCATACGGCATCTTCCTCACCCTATCAAGAACGCGAATAACCTTAATCCAATCCGAACAACACTAACACAAACCCATTCGAACAATAAAAACTCAGGGGTTCTGCATATAGGAGTTTTGGTCTTCCCAAATGCCAAACAGATATACATGAGCCATAGGCTGCTTCAATCAATCTTTTCAACCATTCGGGCTAAAATAACAAGAAAAATTGCATCTTTAATATTGTTCCGAACACCCCTTAATCCAGAAACCACAAATAAAAAAATCCCAAAAGAGAAAAACTAAAATCATTACAAAAATTTGTAATATTTACCATAAATCCAGGAAAACAATCAAAATATACAATTAAAAGTACAAAGCAAAAATCCCAGAACTCAAAAATTAAAGCTTGGCTACTACAAAACAGCAAAACAGAAACCAGAAATGATATAGAAGCATAAATACTGATTTTTTAAAATTAAGTTAAGCAAGTTAAATAAAATTAGATAAAATTGAGCAGAAAATAAAATTGGGTTTTAGGGTTTTACGCCATTGATGCAGAGTCAGTACATACCTCAAACAAGCCTCGGACGCTGTCTTCTTCCTCTTGCTTCCCCCATATATGTTCACCCCATGTGTCCTGTCGTTTGATGTACTGCCTTCGGAATTCAGAGTGTCGTTTTGCGTCGAAGAATAAAATGATGAAGAATCTCATCCGTCGATCTAGGTAACACCATCTATGTGTGCCACGTGTCTCTGAAATAATAAGCTTTGAAAAGAAAATTCCAGAACTGTTTTAAAAGAAAAACTAATGAAAATAATTAGAAAACTTTGAATTTTAACGAAAACTATAAAATAAATAGTACTATATAGAATTTTTAGTGTGAAAATATGGTTTTTTATTAAAATGAACAGTACTAAAAATTTTCGTGAAAGTTTCCTACTTTAAAGTGCTAAAAAATATTTTGTAAATCAATAATAAAAGGCTAAAATTACTTTCTATAAAATACACATTATTGATCGAAATCTTTAAAAATACTTTCAAACGAGTACACAGTCTATTTAGAGAGTAGAAGTTGCTAGACATTGGTCCTATCTCAGTGCGATTATTTGCTATGCTGGTCCCACTTTCTTCATCTCATATTGCCATTTGACCAAATACCCTTATAATTTACTCATATTTCAAAATCATGGGTCCCCATGTCACTTAAAACTGTTGTCTAATAATATTTCTTATTATTGTTACTTAGTATTACGGTCTAATAGTTTTCTTTTATTTTTAAGTAAGATGTCTTAGATTTAGTTCTCGATTAAAGACGAATTTAAACCATATTATTGCAAGCCTATTATGAGGCTAAGCCTACTCTCTATTTTTAGTGTAAATAATATTATTTGTTGTTGTAATTAGAGAGTTTAGCACGCTTGACGGTATAAAATAAGTTAAACACGAAACTTGATTTATAAGTTACATGTCACAATAATTTTCGAAGGAGAGGGGACTGATTTGCGAACACTTTCAAAGGACAATACAATAAATATTATTCATGAAGGTGTGAGATAAGAATTTGGATATCCATAAATTAGAAGCAACCAATCAATCATGTTTATGGATCTATCTTGGGGCCATCATGGACATTGCATTTCCATATGAACATGTTGATGTGGATGCATCATTGCTCTCTACTTCTTGCGTTGCCAAGGCTGCACTACCAATCTTTGCCCTGTCGTTGCTGCCATCCGCCTCGTCATCCATCGCCAAAAAATCGACAACCACCATTTGGGTGTCGGGAGGCTCCTCCACGGGCGTCCGGCCCTCGAGCATCTCCACCACATGTGACATGGTAGGCCTAAGCCTAGCCCTCTCTTGTATGCACCACAGAGCTATATGAACAAGTTTTTTTACCTCCCTTCATCAATGCGTCCACTTTCGATCAGCCTTTGATCAACAACTTCCAGAAGCTTACCTTCTCCCATTTTCTCGATCATAATTTTGGGAAAATACTCCATTTTCCTCTGAGACTTGTTGGTGGCATTGCCCTTTTCAACGAAGCTAATGTTTCTCCGCCCTCCGATCATCTCAAGAAGCACCATTCCGTAACTGTACACATCTGTTTTTTCGGAAATTCCATGCTCCAAGAGCCACTCAGGAGCCAAGTAGCCCCTAGTCCCCCTAATCGTGATCATGATTCTGCTCTCGTCTTTTCCCATTAGCTTCGAAAGGCCAAAATCTGCGACAATTGCTCTGTAATTCTCGTCCAAAAGGATGTTCTCTGGCTTCACATCAAGGTGCAAAATCCTTGACCTGCAATCATGATGCAGGTAAGAAAGCGCTTTAGCAACGTCAACTGCAACCCTGTACCTTGCGTCCCAAGGCAAGCACCCCCCACGCCGATTAGGCCTTCCCTTCTGAGAGAAAATCCACGAATCCAACGATCCATTTGGGATGAAATCATAAACCAAGAATCGCGGTCCTGCAGGAACACAACAATACCCAAGAAGGCGCACAAGATTGATATGTTGCAGGCTTGCAATCGCCGCAACTTCTGACCTGAACTCCCTCTCGCCGCGCTCCTCCACATCGAGCTTTTTCACTGCCACTTGAGTCCCATCACTTAGGATCCCTTTGTAAACAGAAGCTGAAGCCCCTTTCCCAAGCAATGCCTCGAAATGATCCGTTGCATCCTCTAGCTCCTTGTACCTAAACTTCGAGGGAACCCCCGCAACTTTTCGAAGAAAACTATACTCCATGCGAAGTTCGTTTCCTTCTGACGCGTATTTTGTTTCCAAGAGCTTTCTCCGGCAATTGTAATGGTGTCTGATCGCTAGCCATACAAACACAGCAAGGATCACAGCAACACCTGCCCCGCAAATGAGGAAGAAAGTTGGCGAAAGTTTGAGAGTGATTCGCGCAACGAGTATAAAAACAACGAGCGCGATGATCGACGATGAAGCTACTATGTTTGCTTTTCTGTCCTCCATTGCAAAAGCTTCATCCTTGTTTTCGGATAAAGAGAAAGAGAGGGAGCTTTTGAGCTTTTCACATGATTCATATTCTTTCTGTGAACAACCACCATAGTTTTATACTTTTGAACAATTCATTATTTAATAAGAAGTCACCTAATATTTTGTCTGATAATTGATATTAATAGTGTCTTAATCTAATATTATAAGGGTTTTACCTGTTTGATTTTGAGCGAGCCTTGGCACAACGGAAATATTGCTCTTTTACAACCGAACTGTCACATGTTCAAGTCGTGAAAATAGTCTATTTGCAAAGCAAAGGTAAAACTATGTACGATAAACATTGTCCCGACCCTCACAAGCTTGGGGCGCCCTTTATCTGGTCAATTATTTGGAAATATATGTATTCTGCAGAAAATTAAATCTCTTTCTGAAATCAAATGGCCATTCACACCTATAATATCCCATTATAATGTTAAGAATGACCTTAACTTTTACGCGTCAACCTTTTGGACAAAAATTCCTGAATCCGCCATTGCTTACACGACTTGATGAAACACCGCTCTTCGTTAAACATGTCTAGCTAGTTCTTTTCTGCTGCATTATAATTCATTTGTGGGATTAGGAAAAAGCCAATTACCATATGAAAAACGATGAACCGAGTAATAATCTGACCTAGTCATCGACCATAAACAAATGTTAATTAGTTTAAATATATATTGACTGATTCAATCCCTTGAGCTAAAGACCAGTGGTTTAACCCTTAATTGCACTTTAAACAAAGTTTTCCCTTGATTAACACTGACAGAATTCATATTATATTCGAGTTCTTGACAAAATCGGAGACTGCAAGACCGAGTCCTGGATAGGATTAATTTCAGATTCAGGGAATCAGCAAAACATTACAAATCGTGAAGAAACCTAAACAGTTGTTGCTTTGTTGTTGCAGCTAAATAATCGGGATTAACGGGAGGTTTAGACACTAAACAACAATGTGCAATGTGACAAGAAATTCCAACTATTTGGATTCATGTGACGTTGCAGAGATTCGTTTGTAGGCCCCCTGTTTTGTTGTTGCAAACAAAACCATAGAAACCAACGGCTCAATTCTACTTGTTGAAATGATGGGAAGAAAGGGAGTGTGAGGGAGAGATTTGTGTGTGTGCAATCACTCGGTGCATAGCGTAACAATACAATTGGTTGGAAACTTGAAATTTTGAACCAAATATATCATGATACGTGTACTGGACCGTATTTCTAGCAGATTGAAATTTTTCTCAAAGTGAGGAAAAAGTAGAGAGCTTGAGTGAGGTGGATAAAGCACAATGTACGTTGTTTTTCTCTTGTTACATTGGAGGGGTTTGAACTCGACTTATCATAATTCAAAATTTCAAATTCCTTATTCTCCACTCTCTCACGACTTACGCTTCTATGCTATAATAATTATCATGATTGATTGAATAGTGTTAAGGAGACCACACTATATATATATACCTATCATACCATTTTTTAATAGATGCAGAAGTCTATTAATACAAGTAGGTTGCACTTCTTTAAAAAGATGAAAAATATAAGACACATAAATATGGTCTTCCCGCGATCCCATTAGCTCATCCTATTGGCCCCACTTCAGAAAAACACAAAAATTTGAACGGCCTTAATCTTTTTCTCTTTCTTCAAAGGTCTGAATTTCTTAATTTCGGACTTGAGATACTGAGATCTAGAGCGAATATCATTCCTAAAAATGTGATGGCCTAACATTGTCCAATAATAAAATAGACGAATAAAGAGAAAAGCTTTCCACTATAGTAGTTTATTAATAAAAAAATGCAAGTGGGAAGCTGAATAGTGAATACGGGGCAGCTGGAGGCAAAAGGACCCCATGGCTACGTCGACGTTGCCCTAAACCCTAATACCAAAAGCCCTGCCCACCACCCCCGCCCCCCCCCCCTCTCTCTGTGTCTCTTCCCCGAGTGAGAGAGGATTTAATTGACCACTACCAGTCCGCCACCACCATTTCCTACAGTAGCTACATGGGGAGCTACAGAAACGGCGGCCGTGGCGCGGACCAAAGCGGCACCAGCAATGGCGACGCTGGCGGCGCCCCGGTGGACAAAGGCGTCGACTTCGCCAACTACTTCTGCACCTACGCCTTCCTCTACCACCAGAAGGAGATGCTCTCCGATCGAGTCCGCATGGACGCTTACTACAACGCCGTTTTCAAGAACAAGCACCACTTCCATGGCAAGGTACAACATCTCATGAGCTCACTACTTAATTACTCTTTTGCCCCCTGTTTCGTTGCTCTAAGAACCGAAAAGAACGAAACTTTACTTGAAAAAGCTATAAATTTTACCATTTGTTGTTAGGCTGTAAAATATTTGGGATTAATTTGGTTTTAAGGCCGGAAAGAACGAAAATTTACTGAAAAAGCTGTATTTTAAACTCGGCTTTGCTTTGAAGTAGACATTTGTTTCTTTGGAATGTGAGAATTTTGTCAAACTAATGAAGAATTGGGATTAATTTGGTTTTCTGAACCGAAAAGAGCGAAGCTTTGCTGAAAATGGTGTATCTGTTACTCACCTTTGCTATGTAGTAGGCATTTGTTTCTGAGGAATGTGAGAATTTGTTGTACCATCGATAATTTGGGATTAATTTGGTTTAATTGTGGAGCAGGCTGTGTTGGATGTGGGAGCGGGAGTGGCATTCTCGCAATTTGGTCAGCGCAAGCTGGGGCGAGGAAGGTTTATGCCGTTGAAGCAACTTCCATGGCCGAACATGCACGTGCAGTTGTAAAAGCAAATAACCTTCAGGACGTGGTTGAGGTGATCGAGGGCTCCATGGAGGATGTTGTCCTGCCAGAGAAAGGTTTGGCAGTTGTTGAAGAATTTGACAATTTTGGTATAGTAATGTTGTTTTGATTAGTGTCATGCTTATGTGATTCTGTACTGGTGCTCAGTGGACGTGATCATTTCTGAGTGGATGGGGTATTTCCTGCTGCGTGAATCGATGTTTGATTCAGTAATATGTGCACGTGACCGATGGTTAAAGCCAACCGGAGTCATGTAAGTATTCCTAGCATTTACATCAGACTGTTGCAAGCACACACTTCCATAATTGGTACATTGTGTCTGTAGTCTAAAGTTTGGTGAATTTTGTTCTACTGAGTACTGAAAAAGATCTGTATTTTTCTGAAACTCAACACTTGCATCTGTTAATAAGTCATCAGAATGCATCCCCATATGACAAGATTATATGAGTACTTGTCGAAAGCTTTCATGTCCTTTCAAAATGTGGTAATTTGTCTTTTCGAACTGTGCTTTCGCCAATTCTTTATCTCCTTGTTATTGGTCCTTAGATTTGAGTCTTGGAGTTTGCTTGTACTACGATGGGATTAATCAGTATTGTCTGTTGGAGACAGGGAAATTTATCTTGACCCCTTCTAGTTTTAGTATGTTAATTAGGCAATCCTCAAATTGTTTACAGAATATTTTAGATTATAACTCAGAATGAATTTTTGGTTTCACAGGTATCCTAGCCATGCTACCATGTGGGTGGCACCTATTAGGACTGGATTGGGAGATCAAAAAAGTAATGATTATTATTCATCTATGGACGAATGGGAACGTTTCACAGATGAGACAAAAAATTATTATGGTGTTGATATGAGTGTTCTCACAAAGCCTTTCTCGCAAGAGCAGAAGAAATACTATCTTCAGGTAATTTCTATAATTATAGTGTGTTTAAATCATCCTAGTGTGTTTGATAGACTTGTATTTTATGTTGTACATTGTTGTGCGATGTTCATCCAGGCAGAGTCTTTGTATACTGTATATATAGTTATAGTCAGGCTTGTCAATTAATGCATGCTCCTTCTGGTGTCCAACATCTTAAACTGCATGCTATGAAATTTCTGCAGACATCATTGTGGAACAACCTTCATCCACATCAAGTTATAGGGACAGCTGCTTCAATAAAGGAGATTGATTGTTTAACTGCCTCAGTCAGTGACATCCTCGAAGTCAATTCGAACTTTTCATCAACCGTAACTCTTCAGAATACAAGGCTCTGTGGGTACGGGGGATGGTTTGATGTTCAATTTCGAGTAAGTTGATCTTTGCATTCCTTTATCTTGTAGATTGAAAACACTATTCAATATTTTCATGCTCAATGTAACATGAAACTTATCCTCTTCTGGCATACCAGGGAAGAAAGGAGGATCCAGCTCAGGAAGAAGTCGAGTTGACTACTGCTCCTAGTGTGGACGATGGTACTCACTGGGGCCAACAGGTTATTCTGCCAAAAATCTTTTCGTCATATTTTTTTAATTGTCTAAATCAATATGCCGTTGTGCGATATCGTAGGAAGATGTATGTATTTCTATAAGATAACATATCAACTTTGCAAGGCTTTACTTCATCTATCTGTATCACCGTTAGTGTAGTTTTGTGTAATTAGGGCCCAGAGAATTCGTATATTGACAGGCCACTGAATAAGTAGAACATCGCGCCTAACTTCGTGTTGCCGGTGCACTACTATTCATGATGTCTTTTCAACCGTTCTCTTCACTTATGCATAGGCACACTTGCCGGAACCAAATAATTTAGCTTCTATGAATATTCTTTGACGTAAAGTTTCCGTTACTATGTTCTAGGAAATCCAATAAGAAATTGATTTCTTGCTCGCATCTTTGGTTACAGCATCTAATTTCTTCCATGCTTGTCCCCCTTGTTTATTGAACAGGTTTTCCTGTTGAACCCTCCTGCTCGCATCACTGAAGGGGATAAACTAAATGGTTCTTTCTCAATGAAACGATCAAAGGAGAATCATAGATTAATGGAGGTTGAGTTCAGCTGTGAGATTCGACAGCAGACTGGCGAGTTAGTTCCGCATTTCACAAATAGATATTTCATAGAGTGACCGGAGACACGGATCCTGTAAGACTGGATAGTAAGATGTGATCAGTCCTACAAATCATATTTGCAAGTTTTGTGGGAGTTTTGCAGCGGGCTTTGCAGCTGTTTCGCTGTACTCGAATATTTGTTATGTCCTAATCTTGTGATATTTTGAAGCCAAGTTATGTCAATTTCATCAGAATTGGGTCCTTATGGTCACATTAAGTTTTGCAGTGTCATACCGGAGAACGTTTGAACCCCTTGTCCGGTTCCGTTCAAACGCCTATACAGCGCAAAATGTATCATACACCTTTCGAAAATAGACAAGGAAGGGAATTTGAACTTAGGTGCAAACCAACTGGTATAATCCATATTTGCTTTTTTTTTTTTTTTTTTTCAACGTCCATATTTGGTTATTCATGTCTTTCGGCTCATATGTTCGAATCTTCTTATCCATTAGTTGATAATGGCTTAAAATCTCACCTTACTCTTTGTACTCAGTTTTGTCCTGCTATACTCCCTCGACTCATCTTTTGTGTTTCACTTTACTCAATACTTTGTCAATTGAGTTGAGAGAAGCGTTAATTTCACTGACATCATGGCGGTTCTTTGATCGTTTCAGTTTGTTATCTCCGTTGAGTCACATGATTTTGACTCAAACGTCCTAGTCTTCTTATCTATTAGTCGATAATGTCTTAAAATATAACAAGTGTGTTACACATGACAGCCTGCATAATTTGACTTTTTTGTTCATCACATGCATGCATGCCTTTAATTGTCCTGGAAGAAGCTGCTTTTAAGCTAAGTTGGCATTCTCTCATGCTACTTCCCTGCATTTTTGGCTCTGCAAGCAAAGCTGTTATCCTTTGATCTTCCAGCCTCTCCTGACGATCCTAGCAAGCTCCATTATATATACAATTATTTCCCTCTCCTCTTCTGTAAGATCTGGTAGCACTTTGTTCTTCTTGTTCTCCATCGTTTTCGATCACCCGATTACCCCTTCGCCTTCTTGTTCTGAAAATGCATAGATCGTCGAGCACTGCCCGAGCCTCGGAAGAGTTCTTGGTGAACTTCTCGCCAGCGTCTCTGTCCCTGGCCTCAACTTCGCTTCTAAAAACCACAGCAGCTTCCGAAGACTTGCCGGTGTATTCCAATGGAAACTCAGACCATGCTACCAAAAAGGAAATTGGTCTGCTTCATACCCCTCCAGGAGGAGGGAATGTCATTCATCTAATTCCCTTCGTTTTGTTTCTCTGCGGTTTTATACTTTGGATTTCCTCTTATCCGCCTAAAATGTAAACTTAATTATCATGTCGTTATATGCAAAACTTAAATATGTCATCTCTTTAGCAGACACGATCATAGTCACATTAGTTAGAGCAAGTGTATGTGCTCTCCCAACGCACGTACGCACCACTCGTTTCGTTTGCTCTATACTGCAAAAGAGGTTGATAATACGGAAATAATGTAATCACTATTAGTACTCTCACATCATAAGATCATGACATTGAGACAATGATATTTGCTAGCTTTGATTTCTTGTCTTTTTTTTTTTTTTTTTAATTTTTTTTTAAAGATACCAGCTAGTGTCTTCACCACGATAATCTATTCTTCCAAGGGTCCGAAAAGACTCACAGAGGCATTCCAGCCTCCTCTAACCACCATTGTGTGATTCACGACCTCCAAGAATCGAATCTAGACATATCATGTAGAATACCAACCTAAAATTTATTCTCATCTTTGGTTTTGCCGTAAATTTATACTTAATTAACCAATTTTTGGTTGCTCCTGCTCATATATTTACAAGTCAATCAAATTTTTGGTTGCTCCTACAACTGCAAGTCTGCAAGGTTGAATGTTGGAGGCATTGGGAATTGGATGGGCTTGGTCAAGGACCAACCTCTTCCCAACCCAACCACAGGTCCACAAGGCTTCGATCTCCACCCCCCTCTAACCTACCACATTGCCCGAGCATCCATTCTACACATTGGATGAGCAAGATTGCGGTATTACAAGTCAAATCAAATATTATCATGCTTTTATATTTCTAACGTTGTATTGCATTATGAAATATCTTAATGCTAGATGCATGGAAGTTATTTTCGTGCTTGGAGTCTCTTTTTAGCCATTTTCTCACCTGAGACGATATCAAAGAATGACATGGATCCATCATCCATGCAACAATACATTAATGTGTCGTAGGAGGTCATATTTGTTGTCTATAACATGAGAGATTTTTCCGTGTGCTGAGAATATGGTTCAGTACACCAAGTGTCACAATACAAGTAGTTGAATATTTTAAAAAAAAAATTCTGACCACTTGTATTATAATACTTAGTGTACCGAGCTGTATTTTCGACACACTGAAAAATTTCTCCATATATAAAGAATAAGAAATAGAAAGGTGACAGAAATTAATGATGTTGATGCCTCATTTTTGTGTGCTACAGAGAGTCTTTTGCTTGCAAGCAAACACATGAATATCAGAGAGGATTATGGAGGATGGCCAAAAGCGACGTTCCAACTTATATTAAAACTTAAAAAGCAAGAGGTTTAATAACAAACCAAAAACGTATTCAATATAAAATATTTATGAAGAAACGTATTAGCCAAGAAACTATGCACGTTTTCTACATTGCTTAAAGTAGCTTTACATAAATAGCAAACAGATAGCACAGGAATAAGCTTTCTTGGTTTTTTTTTTTTTTTTTTGGGTAAATTACACTTTCATACCTCATGTTTGGGATCTATTTTAATTCCTTGTAACATCTTCAAAACATTTCACTTTCATACCACCTTAAGTACTATTTTATTTCAAAATAAAACATCCGTTACATTTTACATCCATTGATCTGTTAAGCACTGACGTGGCTGCCAAATGTGTACCCTGTGGAAAAAAAACAATTTAAATTTTTTTTTTTTTTAAATCTTAAATCTTCTAAATATATTAATTTAAAAAAAAAAAAAAAAAAAGAAGACTGAAGTTAACCTTCCCGTCATCCCCCCAATCCCCGTTCTCCCCTCAAAACCAAAAACCCACAACAATCCCTCCCCCACCCCCCCCCCCACCCCACCCGCATCCTTCTCCCCCCCCCCCCCCCCCCCCCCGGCGCCCGCATCTCCCCCATCCGCGACCCTCTCTGCGCACCCCACCCCCAACTCGCGACCCCCTCCCTCCGCACCCATTCTCTTCCCTTCTCTACACACCCCCCACTCTCCTCTACACCCCCCCCCCCCCACTTCTTAAATTCACATCCATTCCACGAACCCAGCGATGGCGAGACGGGATCTGGGTTTTTTTTTTTTTTTTTGGATTGCAGGTAGGGGATTGGGGGAAGAAGATGAAGAGAGGGGAAGAGGGGGGAAAGACGGGGGTTTTTTTTTTTTTTTTTCTTCTTCTTCTTCTTCTTCTTTCTAGGTTGTAGGGAAGAAGATGAAGATTTGGGGGGGGGGGTTTGAGAAAATTCAGGTTAAAAAAAATTATTATTTTTGCCACGTGGCAGACATTTGGCAGCCACATTAGCACTTAACAAATCAATGGATGTAAAATGTAACGGAGGTATTATTTTGAAATAAAATAGTACTTAAGGTATGAAAGTGAAATGTTTAGAAGATGTTGTAGGGAATTGAAATAGAGCCCAAACATAAGGTATGAAAGTGTAATTTACCCTTTTTTTTCTTCTAAAGAACTAGAAGGTTACTTCGCTATAATAATCTATTTTTTGGGAGTTGGGAAGTATCACAAATGAATTTTAGCCTCTCATGAGTACCATTATATGATTTACCAACGTCAGAAATCGAACTTAAGACGTATCGTATGAAATACGGGTTTGGAATCATCTCCAACCACGAGACCACCTTTAGTGGTTAAGTATTCAAATTGTTTATTGAGTCCCATAAGTAACTTTTATTGAGTCACATGAAAAATTCGTTTTACAATTTCTTTATGGTAAAACTTCGCGAAAACAATTAAGAAAAATTTGAGTCATGGTCTTTTTTTTCGTTTTTTTTTTATGAAAAATGTGATTGTTGAGTTTTTTAAATATTTTTTTTATAGATTTTAATATGGAAACTGTAAAAAATCAATAAAAAAATACTAGCAAATCCATATCACTATCATAGCTAGAATACAGTTTTGTTCGCCATAACATCTTCAAAATGTCTACTTGAGCCTGCAACGATGTTTGTTCATCACAGTGATCTAGGATCAGAAAGGTCTAGTAGATATAATGCTCGTCATTAATCGAATGAACTACTAATGCATAAAAATTTATAGTTCGGTTTAAACGCCACGAAAATAGTTTATATGACAATTTTTGGTAATAAAAAAAACCAATTAAAACTTGTGAATGGTTCAATTTTGATTGAAATATTATTACATATTAGGGATTAACGTGGGGATTTTATTTATTCAAAAGGGACAAACAAGGGGTAAGTGCAACTAATCTTTGTTGTATATATGCTCACCTAAAACTGAGGGGCCTGAGGGCTGAGGCCCTGAGGGTGAGAGGGCCACGGTTTCACAGTGGCTTTGGCATATCCAAACTGCCAAATATGTGGCTTGGCATGAAAATCGACTTCCTCTTTTTAAATTTAGAATGTTATGCTATTTGCCAGCTATCACAATTATTTATAGGGAGTTTTAACTAAACACTTTTGCTGTTGTTCACTTTTAACGAAAAATCACATTTTTATCTTTTTTCTGGTATTATTTACTACATCTTTATTTTTCATTTTTCATTAAAACTAAAATTTCTTTGGACTTTCCGTTAGTTTTTCCTTATTCATAAGGATGTATAATGGTTGTGTCCCTCTGTCAGAGGAATTACTTATTCTCTCATTTACGATTAACAAATTTTAACTATTGAAACATTATAATCGAAATTGTTTATTCTCTTTATCATTATCTAAAGATCATATCTGCAAAAGATCTTTCAATTTGAAGATTGTTTAATCATTCATATGCATAAAACAAACGGAATGTTCATTATGAGAATGCTACTTATTGTTAATAAAACTGTTTATTAGGTTATACACGTATGAATGACTAAACGATCTTCAAGTTGAATAATTTTTACAGATATAATTTTTAGATGATAACAAACAAAATGAATAGTTCTGATTATGATGTTCGGACAGTAAAAGTTCGTTAATCACATATAAGAGGATAAGTAAGTTCCCATGAAGGACACAAGCATTATCCTAAGGGATGTGATATCCACACATCTTTTTTTTACTTCTTACATATCCTTCTAATTTTCGATCGTCAGATTGAATGAATTGAAAAAAATCAACGGATATAAATTAACAAAGAATGTGTGAGAAGTAAAATGGAATATATGGATAACACACCCCTATCCTAATTATAATTTCTAAATAAACGAGGATTGGTTGTTAAAGACAATTAGGCAGGCAAATGTCACTTCATAAGCAAATTAAATACTTTTACCAGAAATTAGGCACCTTAGCTCTCCACTTAATATCTCAAATGCGTTTTACTCCGGTAGTGTAAAATAATTATGGTTATGCATTCTGATGTTGATTAAATTTTTACAGATTTTTTTTTTCACTTAACAATTTAACTCATTAACGCTATCATTTGTCAAAAAATATTTTTATATTATTAGATGTAAATTTTTGGATTTTAGGATCTAAGAGTTGTTAAAACTGAATCCCACATTGATAAGAAAAGAAATATTACTTGTGCTTATAAGTAAATTGAGCTACTCATATTATCAATTGATTTAGATTATGCCTCCCATTTTCTATTCTAAAAGTGAAAAAACCAAAGCTAAAAAAATAGTGCCGTATCGATTAGTTTATGAAAAAACCAAGCTAAAAAAATAGTGCCGTATCGATTAGTTTATGAAAACTTGACCTTTGAACGATCACCATGCAATGCATGGAAAGACATGCTACATGCAAGTATGATCGCCATGCTTTGAAGAAAAAAGTATTGAACCCCATCCATGCGGACCTTTTGACCTAATTTAGTCGTAATTCATGATTACGTTGTTTAAAATACGTAAAATAATAACATCATGTGATAGTGGTATAAGTACATCGAAAATTATTTTCTATTCCCGAATCATGTCATTTGACCTAAACCCTACATACTTGGAATACATTGTTTCGCCATGTGCTAACTTGCTATGAATATATGTTATACAATACAAATGAATTGATCTACATTTTATGTATGAAGGTTATAAGACAATGTGTGTGTTGACATGTTCTTCACAGGTTCTACTAGTCAAAACCCTCATTTTGTTAGCCACCGTTTGCAGTTCAAATTCAAAGTAAGACAACCGTCTGCTCATTATATATTTGGTCTTCCTCAACTGGTGAATGGTCCCCAAGAAAAGAAAAACCTCACGTGCCCAAAGATGCTTTTCGACTTTTTCTGTCAACAATTTCAAATTTTCAATAGGTTATCATATCATGAACATTACAAGATAGTCCAGTAGTTGAGATAAATTTTCAGTCTATATTTCACGTAGTGTGTTTTAGGTTTGATTACTATCGTTGGTACATCATACAATGGTGATCAGAAAGGTTAAAATACCTCTATGAGCCTTCTTGCTTCTTGAAAATATGGATTACCGTGACGAAGCTACCAGCTAATCCTCTATTTACAAAGAAAAAAAAAATTATCGAATCATGTTTGCTTCTGTTTTCGCATCAAGTATTTTTTTTTTTTTTTTAAATATTGACTAAGTTAGGAATATTTATATTTATTTGTCCCAATTATAGTTTTTTCGAATTTTGATCCTCGGAGTCTTATGTTCAATTTTTTTACGTACAAGCAAATTTCTCTTCTTTTTGATATTGTATAAAAGTAAAAGAAAAAAAAAGAAATTAGAGAATTCTTTCTCAACCTTTCGCAATACCAAATACCAAATATTCTCAATTTATGGAAAATATTTTCATTTAAAAAAATTATGCAACCATATATTCGATATCCAACAGAATATCTGCATATCTCAATTTGGCATACATTCTACAATAGAAGCCAACGTGACAATCCAAATCAAATAATAATGAGCTCGTGAAAATGCAATTAAATAATTTTTATTTAGAGAAATAAGTACGTTAGATAAGTTAATTAAGACAGTGTGTCTGTCATTTTGTTCCTAAGTTTAATTTCCCCTCCTTCATATTAGAGTAATTAAAATATCATTTTCGAAAAAAATGTAATATTTATTTAGTAACGATGAAAGTAAATAATATAGTCAAACTTGTAACTAATGCTGTTCCTTTTTTGCATAGCTTGAAAGTTTGACTTGAAATTACTAGTTAAACTTGTATTTGTGACTCATTTCATTACAATGTAATTTATATTCTCACATTAAATAACACAAGTAATTCGATACAAAAACGTAAATGCGAACAAGTTATAAACTCAAATTGTACGTATTTAGAATTTACACCAGGTATTTGTAGTCGAAATTTAACCCCTGTAAAATTTCCCACCTCAGCAAGCTATTCTTGGGAAGATGGCAACTTGGCATAGAAACCATGCCATATTCGTTGCTTATTAAGCTAAAATATTTGGACCTTTTAAATTCCGACAAAAATATAAAAAAATTAATTACATAAAAAACAATAAAAATTAAAACTAGCACAAAACCACCACAACAAGAAGAAGAAGAGGAAGAATCACAGAGTTCAAACTTTTTCCGATAACCAAATTTTTCTCTCTGAATTGGAGAAAAGGTCAGACAGAAACCTCTCTCTGTTTACGTTTCTCAATTCTTTAATCTCTCTCTGCATTTGTAATTTTGATTAAATTTGTTTGCTTTGCAATCTGTTTATCTCTTGTCAGTTTAATGTTCTTCTTCTGGGTGAAGAGAATGAATTGACAGAAAAAAGTTTTGATTTTGCTTATTGGGTTCAATCGTTTACCTTCCCCAAGCTGTTTGGTTGCCGAGAAAACGGTGGAAACAGGCAAAAAATAAACATTGGGTTGGTCTGTAATTTTGCTGGTTTGGTAGATGGTTTTGTGAAATTGGGTTGATGAAACTAAACCATGCAGTTGAATTTAGCTCAGTTGAGTGCTGGTTTGAGTTTTCTCATGTCTTAATGAATGAAAAGTTGGGAATCTAAAGTTTGGTGCTTTTTTAATTTTCTTGCATTTTCTCAGCAGCCAAACAGAGCATAAGTTTCGGTAGTCCGATTTGAATTTATGATCTTGTTAAATTTTTGTCCTTTAATCTTAAACCAAAGGGTTTCTGCAAGTTTTTCAATTTTTTGACTGTTGGGCTGTTTAGAAGATGCAGATCAGATAAAAATTGATTTTTAAATCTGTTTTATTTTTGTTCTTATTTGTTTGAGATTCTCTAAATATGGATGTTGCTTCAATTGTATTACGTTGTTTCGAATCATTTGATTGCCCTTGATCCTCACTCTTCCTTATGAGATGCTGAGATTAATATAATCTTATTCTGTAATTCATATTCTGTCTTGTGTCTTACGTTAGTTCTATTGCATAAAGCAGGTTTTGTAATTGGGAATTTGCATATAGCATCATGAGATTCAAACGAGGGAGCATCGTCGAAGTATTGAGCAAAAAGGAGATGCCTTCAGGCTGCTGGTGCTCTGCTAAGATAATCTGCGGTAACGGCCACAACTACACTGTCAGATATGATGGATATGAGGGTAACGCTGATAACGCCGTTGTGGAGAGGGTATCCAGAGATGCCATCAGGCCTTGCCCACCTTCACTGGAAATTTCAGGGAATTTGGTTCCTGGTGATGTCATTGAGTTTTTAGACAATTTTTCTTGGAAAATGGCAGCAATTACAAAGGTTTTGGGAAAGGAGTGCTTTTTAATCAGGCCAGTCGGATCCTCCCGGCAATACAAGGTCGGAAAATTTGAAATCCGAGTCAGACAGTTTTGGCAAGATGACAAATGGGTTGTGATTGGAAAGGTAATATCATCCTAATATATTTGCCGACGCAATTTATTTATTTGCATTTATCAGTTTTATGTGTCCAAGAGTTTTCAAGTGTTAACAGTAATGAGGACCTCAAAATGTAGTATGTATTAAGGTTAATCAGTAGTGGTACAAAATTTAAGCATCACAACGAGTTTAGGTTTTCGTTTTGAATGTTTAAAGTTGGAAATTGCCTTGGTTGTTAGAATAATACTGACAAAATTCTTCTATGTTGTTTTCATGTGCTAACTTTTTGTTTACTTGCTTGTAGGGTTTGAACAATTACGAGAATAAAAAACATGGTGAATTTTTAACTCCAAAGTTCAATCAACATTCATATCGTAAAGCTCAGAAGAACGAAACGCTGACTGCCTCCTCTCATCTGAAGAGAAGATCACCCTACCTGTGTTCTCAAGATGAAGCATATGGTGGACCTGCTGAGAAGTTTAGAGCTGTTGAAAAAGAGGGAAGGTGTCTCCGAGTAATTGCTGCGAATTTCTGTACATTTTCTGAACAGGTAGATGTTGCTTTACCAGGACGTATGCAGGGTGGAAAAGATATACGTGCTTCTCTTAACAAAAAAAGTGTATTGTCTGATGTGGATGTTGAAGGGAGGAAACCAAGTGGTGATGTTGGGCGTTTGTTTGCTGTGAACCTAAATTCGAATGATGCTGATGGTGTTACATGCTCTGTTGGTAGTTGTAGTATTGATAGCAAAGATTTCAATAAGTTGCCTCCTCCTGTTTCTGCTAGTTCTACTGAAGATTTTGATGATCAGTTTTCCGATGCCGAATCTTCTTTTCAATTGAGATACGAGGAAGGAAACTCTCTCCTTCCTGCTAAAGAAGAATTGGCAGATGAGATCCATAGGTTAGAGTTGCATGCTTACCGTTGCACGATAGGGGCATTACATGCGTCAGGACCTTTAAGTTGGGAACAAGAAGAATTGGTGACGAATCTTCGCCTTTCACTCCATATATCAAATGATGAACATTTAATGGAGCTTAGAAACTTAATTTCTGGAGATACCAGCATTCATATTAGATGACAGGAAAACCGGAACTGCGTGTTTTGATTCATATTTTTCTTTTTCTTGTAGCTGTAGAATCTCGATGAGCATTTTCATTAATGACCTCGCTCCACTGTAAGAAACAAGATGAGATGTTTTGATGTTCTTTATGTTTAGTTACAACACATAGTCCAGATTCAATGTAGTTATTATTATCCTCTTCGTTGTGGATCAATTATTCTCTTTTTGCTTTTTTCTGGGGTTGTACTGAATCCATATCAAGATCTAGAGGTTCAACATAAGCCTTACCATATGAAGTTTCTGTACTATTCGTGTAAGCATTTGGGTATTATCGATGTATATTGCAAACTGCAAGTAACGACTCTGCATGTTCTCTTATGACACATCTGCACATATAGAGTGCTGTATCCTTTCTTTATTTGTTGATTTGTGAGGCTTTGCTTTCTCTTCGATTCTCTGGTGTGAATAATATGTCCCATGATTTCATTTGTGGACAGTATTAATGCATCCACTGCGTTTTCCAGGGACAGAGTAGGAGGCTTGTCGCCTTGCTTTCAAGTCTCCAAAGATGATCTTGGGGCTTGCCAACTTTCTATCAGCCTAGACTTGAGGGCAATAGTAAGACAGCTTCTGATGCTGCTGTTCACATTAATATATCTGGTTTCTGCATTCTTCCATATCAGGCCACCCGTGAGCCTTAGATACTTGTTTTACTGGAGGAAGAAAGAAAATCTAGTGGCTGACACAGGATGACCTGAGATGTAGATGCTTGAAAGGTTTTGTTTCAAACCGCTGCCTCAGCACTTCCACTTACAGCTTACTTGACTTACTGATATCAATTTTATTCTCCATCTGCTATAGATTTATCATGTCAGCATACTACATTTCATAATCTTCGTCGTTTCTACGGTTTACTGCTTTTATTGTCTTCTGTTCTTTCTGTTTCCTGTGTCTCTGTGTCCTTTTTTGTTTATTTGGGAAAGTTTATAACTTTATTCAAGTCTGGTCGATGGTCTTTCTAAAGTAAAGTTCAGGATTTTGTAAATGTCCATAAGCATGGGAAGTTTATTTGGAAACAAAAAAAAAAAAGAATCTTGGAAGGATAGGTTAACGGCTTCTGCGGATTATGCAGAAGCCAGACGCATTATAGGAGGAGGAACTGATGATATCTAGGTATTTTTAAGTTTACGAATTAGAGTCACAGATGTCTCTGGAAGTTGTAGCTTGACAAGTTTTACATTGTAACCTCTTAAAAAGATGCGAACAATGTGTGCTACATCTTGGGGGCAATTGGAAAATTTCTTAACATGTTTCCTTTCTTGTGTACTGTAGCTGCATATTGTTCTTTGTTCAAGTAAGTTCTTGAGTACGCCATTCGCTGAATTAGCATAGGGTGGTAGACCTGATGGTATCTTATGCTGATCAGCAGGAAATGTGCGATTTATTTCTCGATATTCTACCTCAGCTTCTGATTGGGAGTGTTTTAACCCCTAATAACCAACTTTCCAAGTGTAAACAGTAAGAAGATATCCATGTCCTGATATATAGGCCATCTGACTGCCCTACAGCTCTTCAATTCTTTGTGATTATTGTTGTATTTGTTTGTATGTTTGTATCTTTGGAAGTTATTGGACAGGTTCTGTTGCATTGCATTGCACTGCATAAGCTTTAGTGACTGGATCAATTATCCATTTCGACAAGAGCGCAGAGCGATGGACACTATGCCCCAAGAAAAAGCAAATGGATAACTTCGAATAAAGCATCCACGCACGCTTTTGCTTGCCCCTGATTGACAAAAATTGTCAGCCATGTCCTTGTGCTACAAGATTTGAACTGAGGTATGCTGGAAAGGGTTAAACTGGATACGGAAGGAAGCAAAGTTATCTTTTTCTGTTAATGGTATTTAGATTGTCATTGACCTTAATTATTAGCTTTTGTCCTTGTCAAGTTTCTGTAGAAAAAAACATTACTTGTTTTCGATGTCCTTCGTGGTTTGAAAGTAAAACTCGTTTTTACAGTTTTCTATGGTTCCTGCTGCAGATGCGTTCGACACAAACTCTATATCAGCTCGGAACAAATCCGGTGTGGAAACCAAGTAGCCAACAATGAGAAGCGTTCGCTTTTGGTAAAGATTTGAGGATTGCTCAATAGTATATGCTCATAAATGTGAGATGCAAAACATTCCAGAATCTCGAGCATGTAACGATAACATAACGCCTACGCAAAATTTGATTGCCTCGGCAATTCCAAATGATTCAGCTAAGTATTGTCACCCCCTCTGGTAAGTCTGGCATTGTGTGAAAGTTCATGGCAGAAACTCATTTGTTTCTATATCAGCAGAGCATTCGCTGTTGCTGCATGCCATACCATGAGACCCTACATCGTTTGTATCTCGTGAAAATTTTAAGAGAATGTGACAGTTTTTTCTATCTTGGGATAAGGTTTTCATATCTTGTGAAGATTTATGGGAATCGATATCCTTTTCAAATATCCTAGTCTGGAGCCCACGGATTGGATCGTTCAAAGGAGAGAGAGAGATCCAGACGCTTGATTTGTGTGAAGTGGCCAGTGAAATAGAATAATAAGGGCCATAGGATTTTAAATGAGTAGTTCGGATTTTTGAATTTGCAGGCTCCGGATACAAAAACCCGGAGACGATCTCCATCCGATTTAAAGGTTCCAACTTTAGGGGTCCGAAGTTCCAAAGGCCAATTGTTTGTACATGCAAAACAGTACTGTTTTATGGGCCCTCAAGACAAAATAAAAAACAATTTAATGGGCCCAAGTTTTGGTTTTCTTGCTAAAGTAGGGTCAAGGACTTTTGGGCTTCATGTATCCAATATTTGGTTGCAAGTTGCAACCCACCATCAGAAGTCATTAAATTTTGATAAAGTGATGATTTGATGGCATGGAAGAAAATCTAGTATGCAAATGGTAGCAAAAGTTTTTGGATAAAATTAATTTTCATATTAACATTTGGACAAGGGCATTTTTGCACATCGTTACAACTCCTATTATTCATGATTGTGGAGCAAAAAATAATTGCAAAAATCATGAAGGTGATACGTGGATTTTTAGTTAAGCAAGACGAGATTACTTTCGAGGCACACTAGGAATTCTCACGCACATGCAACATACAATAACGGTTCAAAGGTGATTTTTATGGAATTTATTCGAATTCCCCTCATCAGTTCCTCATTGATTTTATTCAATAAGGTAACCTCCAAAACTTCCTATTTAATTTGGGATAATTACCATGATAATTGCAAATATTATTTCACATAATATCTTGCAATAATTCACCAAATTCCCCCATATATGGCTGGACATTCTCCACCCAAAGGACCAACCACCCTCCTATAAAGTCATTTGCTACCCACAAACTCTTAAATATATTTTTTTTTCTTCAGAATTCTAAACTTTAGCATCAGATATTCTTCAGCCAAAACCCCCGTTCATCATGGGCACGTGAGGTTTTTGGTTTTAATCAAAGGTGTTATTTTTTTGCAAGTGCATTTTCATCAAAGGATGAGATGACAGAAATTTGCATTCATAATAATTACGTGGATATCTGAACTAACTCATGTTGAAAATTTGCGGATGAGTTGTGGTTGACACTTGAATACAAACCTAGCTAGTTCATCCCAAAATGCATTTAGGCGTCTACTTCTGTTAGTGAGGATTGGGTTGATTGGCTTAAATAGTGTAACTCACTAAATTCAAGACTAGTCGCATGAAGAAGTGAAAGCTACCCCCTTCAGAAAGATGATAGAATTAGTCGGGATAATTTTCCTTTATATCTCTACTGCATTTTGTACCTTCAACTTATATTTAAAAATTATCATTCATTCTTTCTCTAATTTCGATATACTTTGAATCTATCGAGTCAATATAATCTATCTAAATTTATCTTCTCTAACAAACGCAGCCTCGAATAAAGCACAAAAAGCAAAAATATATTGCCCAGAAGGATTCGATGACTTTGAGTGGTTGGTACTTCTACGATCTTATTCACACAACCTGTTCGACTACAGTGATGACAGAAAGCTGCACTCAGCTAACCACATGGCCATCTCTAACTTTATATACGCATCCTTCATATAGTTCATATGTTGATGAAAACTTGCATTGATTCTTGTTTTGTTTCTTAATTTCTCGTCTCCTTCCTTGAGAGGCAGTAATTAGATAGAATCTTAGGAGCAAAAGGGCAACCAAACAGGTGGGTTTGTCACAAAAATGACCAACAAAATTCGAAGGTGTCATTCTTTGCAAAGACGTTTTTGGATTAACAAATGAGTGTTGCATTTATGTGGCTCCACCAAATCCTCTCCAATTGTCTCACTATCGTCTCTTCATCATTGTCAATCCCATGTGATTTTGCCTCTCCCACAAATGGAGACATAGAGGAGATGTATGTCTTATTGATAAAGACTAGAGCGCAACCAAACTTTGATAAGAGTTACTGCAACTTATTACGATCAATCCATGAGCTTAACTTATAAGTCGTTAAGTAAATAAGAAGACTTAGTTAAACCGAGCACCATGAGCAAAAAACAAAACTCAAACTATGAAGTTGCACAAACAAATTCGTTTTTGAGTTACTGCAATTTATCCCGGCTCGTGAACTTAACGTATCAACAAATGGCCTGGTTGGGGGTGCTATGTGGTTGCACCATCTTATCAGTTATCACCTTCAATTTGGACAAGAATGTTACAAGTTGTCTTTTGAATGTCCAACACAAACTTTAGTTACTTTCACCTAACATATGCAGCACTTATTAAATGTCTGGCCAACTTTTTCTTTGTGTCTCTCCATCGAGTTCTCAATGCCACTTCCTTTTGGAACAGTGAACATGCATGTGTGTGCTACTGTAAACTTGGATAGAAATTCAATCAAACAAGTATTAATGTATTTGGGCTGTCAGCAATTGTTGGGATCCGCTTAATATATATCAGATGCCATTTGTTCATCACACACATCCATTTAAAATAATTATCTCGGCATATACACATGAGTATGAGTGGCTGCAATTGAAGATAAGATAAGAGAAAATCGGGTAAGTGGATTTGGACACATGAACCAAACACGTACAAAAGCTCTGGTTAGAAGATGAGACTATAAGATGAAGCCTTAGAGCAAAAGGGGTAGATGAAGACTTAAGAAGACATGGAAAAAACTTTAAGAAAAGATATGGAGTACTTAGAACTAACGGAATACATGATGCAAAATCGAGCGCATTGAAGTTCTAAGATTTATACAACCGACTACACTTAATGAGATAAAATTTTGTTGTTGTTTGAGGCATATGTACATGCATATATGTATGTTTGTGTGTGTGTGTGTATCTGTATATATTATTTCCTATACAATTAACTAGTTAAGCCTTGTGATCCATCCCAGTGATCATATATATATATATGGTAGGTGGAGAAGAAGATCATGGGCTATGTGGAACACTGAGATATGGAATTATGTATGATATAGTATATTGAAGGAGTAAGACGTTCATACGAAATTGGCGGTGGAGGCTAGAGGAAAAGGCCATCATACAAAACAGAAATAGATAGGCCTTTGGTCTATGCCGACAAGGTCGCATTAATCAAGGGCAGACATTAGCCAGCTCAATTCCTTTGGCAGGGCTGCAAATTTGGGAGAGCATATTAAGGGAATTTTATATTAATAATTCTTTTAAATATTGATGTAATATACTATATAATGTGATTAAGGGAATTGGGAGATGTTCCTGTCACAACCATATATCTTGAGTATTTCCTAGGGATCTATAAAACCCTAGTTTTTTAATTTGGTGGAGGGGACAAAAACCAATTTAAATTCCTTATAGACGGTATACAAGTTAGGAGTTGGGACATCTTCCATGGAGATAATCAATACATATTGAAACGTATTGTGACTAATTTACATGTTAGAAGAAGAGTTTTGACGAAATTGATATACTAGAGATTAAATAAATATGCATGCATGCATAGTATAAGTAGATTATTAACACTATGTAACAGTGTGCCTGATCTCACTCAAAGTTACCTCGTTCATGATCCTGTAGGCTCGTAGCTTGACCTTCCTGTTCTCAGGGTTCAAATCAAACGGCTACTTGCACAAAAAGAAAATGGTTTGTTCAAATAACTATAACTTTACCTCAAGTTTTCCTGGAATATTGTCTGTTATATTAAATTATAAAGATGGAGAGGGAAATATTATCAAATATTATTTACAAATGCAGTTTGACCTTTTAAGATGGAGCCATCAGCCATTGGAGGAGTGTTGATATTGTCGCCTAGCAAAGGTGGCGAGACATTGCCCTAGATGTTAATGTGGGAAGCATGCTCAAGACGAAGCACAAGTGAACAAAGAAGTCTCTAAGAGATAAAAGAAAAGTTAAAGTTAAACATTCAAGATCAGGACATGGATTACTGTTAATCAGGAGAATCGTGTTACAGATTAAACAACTGGAGAAAAAAGCTAATGAAGAATCATAGGTGCGTCGTGAAACATTATATTCTTGTTTTATGTGATTGGAGCATCGTAAAGGTAATTCTCATGCCTTCTACTCACATAGAAAGAAAGCAAAGGAAGCACACTTCACCAAGATTAATAAGGTATTCACATAACGTAATAATGGTTCTTCATGCAGCACGAACTTTAAGATAATCGATAAGGAAGAATAATCAGATTGTAATCTACATAATAATGTAGTAAAATTGTACCTGAATAGAAAGTTGTCAGTTCTGTGTGCAGTCAGAGAGAGAGATGATTAATTTGTGGGGGAATGTTAGTATGCTACCGACTTTTTCGGTTCCTTTTCGGATTTTACAATGTTGAACAGTGATTGCAATGTTCATGTTCTAGTTCATCTCTGAAAAAATTCAATCATAATTGTTTAAATGTTTGATTAAAGTTGTCAAACTTTCAGTGTTTAACTGAATAACGTGATTCGTTTATTTATTAAATAACTGTTAGATGCTAAACAATTTTACGTTTAGATGATTTTGGTAGAGTTGATCTTCAAAGATTGATAATAAAAAATAAACAATTCGAATTATCATGTAACATTCTAGGATGAGATTGTTCAATTAGCAAAAGTTGCTAACATTCCTTTAATGTGTGAAGTTTAATATTATGAGCCATATATTAAGGCAATTAGGGATGAGTAATGAGATCACATGCATCTTGGCATGCTTCTCGTTGATTCCTTCAACAAAAAAGTTAAAAATTATACACCAAAACAGGTGGAGAGATTTGTTACTTGTAGCTCAAACCCACATGCTTCCATGGGGACCATCAAACCCCAAAAATTAGAGAGAGGCTACCTTCCAAGAGCATGAGAAGATCCCAAAAAGTAATACAACAAGAAAGGTTTGGTTTCTCTCAAATCTTACACGGGTTTTTCTTTAGCAATACGTAGTATTTGATCCTTCGGTGTTATTTTTTAATTAAATTAGCATGTGTGAGAGATATCCTCGGAGGTAAACAGTTGAATGGGTCTCCACCACTCCACTTCAGGTCCCAATTTTACTTGCAATTGGAGTTAGCCGGTTTCTCTTTTTTCCAAATCCATAATTTTTGCCAACCGTTCGATTGGACAAGAATCAATCCAAACCGTTGAATTGTCGCACCATGCATTGATCCGTATCACCAAAGATTTTCGATCATACTCCTCACTAAACTACAAAAGCCCGAAACCCCATAAAGGAGAATGTTTCAAAAAGGTGCATTTGCATGCTGGATTGCAGTATATTTGCTTTAAAACAATAAGTCATGCCAATTCTTCTCCTATTAGACAACTCCATCGTTAGAGCTCTCCCCCTAGGCTATTCACTATTTAATCCACCTGGTGAACAGTAACTGCCATTAATGAACAGTAATAACCTTTTGTATCTCCACTGTTACACTTCAATAGCCCTAGCAATAGGTAATAAAATATTAGTATTTTTTTTATTTATAAAATAATACAAAATAATTTTTATTGTAATTTCGGATAAGATTTTTAATTGTAATTTCAGATAATTTTAAAAAAAATTTTATTCAACAAATTAATCTCTGCAGTTGGATATAAAAAAATTTGAATTCCAACACTTCAAATTGTGCCACGTGTCACAACGGTAACTTTTCTTAATTTTAAAACTATTTTTTCTTTTATTTATTTATTTATAAACTATATTAACATCGACCGTTGATTTCAGATCGAACAGTGGATATTAAATAAGACTTTTTTTTTTTTTTTTACCGTTGAGATCGAACAGATCGTGGGAAGCCACGTGGCTTCCCAACAGTAACTGAAAAAGCAACTGTTTTTTTTTTTAAAGTGTGTCGGCGACGCGCCCCCACGCACGAGTGGGTTGCACGCGCTTGACAGAAAAAAAATAAAAAAAGGCTTGACAATAGGCTAACGTCAAGCCTGGCGTCACATCCACTCGGGCTCTTAGGCTGGCAATCTTCACAGGCCCGGAGCTCGGGCCTCCACCTCCACTCGGGCTCCTTCACGCTGGAGCTGGTCCACAGGGCCTCGGGCCCGTTTTCTCTGACCTGTCCCCCGAGCATCCACCTACGATGGAGTTGCTCTTAGTAACACACCAAAAATTACTATTACATTTATTTTGAAAATCTTAAAAAGAAAAAACAAGGATCAAGTATTTGAGCCGCTAATGTTCATCACAAAATATACGTTTTTTTTTATTTTTTATGTGTATGTAATAGGATATTGTTTACCTCTTTACATGTAAAGTGTCATCGATTCTTACTTGCAAGTCACTTTTGACATATATTGCTTGTATAAGAAGAATCGTTCATCACCAACCAAAAACGTTTATACAAATCTATTAAACTTTGATTCGTCTGTAAAAAGGAATGGTTGATTTCTTATGGCAAAACTTCTTTGTTTGTGAATAAACCTTGTTTTTTTTTTCCTAATGCTTTCTACTACCAGCTCATAGATTCAACATTGTGAATAAAATTCGTGGTACCCCAAAATGGTACTATAAAAACTTCATGCATGATTCACGTATATTTTATTACGAGAAATGCTAAAGGAACTCTTTCAAAAGTGAGACTATTCATGAACTCTCTGTCACGATATTTTATAATGTTAGTATGAGAATTAACATTAAACTGTAAGGTGACATATATAGAGTCTGTTACATCCCACATCGCTGAGATGAGTGGATCATGTAAGCTTTATATGTATATGCTCACCTCCATTTAGCATGAGGTTTTTTGGGAGCTCACTAACTTTGGGTTCCGTAGGAACTCCGAAATTAAGCAAGAAAGGGGCCAGAGCATTCCCAGGATGAGTGACCTACTAGGAAGTTCTGCTCGCGTGAGTTCCTAGAAACAAAACCGTGAGGGCGTGGTGGGGGTCCAAAGCGGACAATATCGTGCTACAGTGGAGTCGAGCCCGAGATGTGGTGGGGCCCGGACCAGGATGTGACAATTTGGTATTAGAGCCAATCCCTGGTCGGATGTGTGTCGACGAGGGAGTCAAGCCCCTAAGGGGGGTGGATTGTTACATCCCACATCACTGAGGGAAGTGAATCCTGTAAGCCTTATATGTATATACTCACCTCTATTTAGCATGAGGGCTTTTGGGAGCTCACTGGCTTCGAGTTCCGTAGGAACTCCGAAGTTAAGCGAGTTCGTGCAAGAGCAATCCTAGGATGGGTGACCCACTGGGAAGTTCTCGTGTGAGTTTCCATAAACAAAACCGTGAGGGCGTGGTGGGGGCCCATGCCAGAATGTGACAAAGTCCATGGAAAGTCGTGCTTTAAAAAAGTCCCCTTAGCATTTCTCTTTACTAGACATATTTACATTGGGTTGCTCAACTTAACAGATAGCCATTCATAATAGCATATATTATACAGCCTGCTCTAGAGTATAACCATGAAATATGCAAATCTTAGTGCATTGGTAACATACATCAGTACATTTGTTTGGGTTACAACAGCTTGTTCTCTAATCAACCGAGCTCTCTTCTCCCAAAAATCGAATTGAGTTTAAAATATACAACTCTTGAAAACCCTACTATTAATTGCCACATACATTTCCTAAAATTAATATGAACTGTAAGCAGTGGAGTCGAACTCAATGTTAAATTTTAGGTAGATGGGTCATGGGCCCACTCCAACAACACTGATATTGTCCCCACTTGGCCACCTGCTCAATTCGTCAAGTGTGGGGTTTAATACAAAAGACCTCGGTGTTAGTTAGAGTGAGGTAATTCTATTTAAAGGGCTTGTTCTCAAGCCTTCTTGCCGATGTGGGACAGAGGAATTCTAACACTCCCCGCATGTGAGACCCCATTTTATTGGTTACACATGAAGTTCCACACATCGGCAACCACATGAAGCCAAGCCGGGGGTCACCCTGTTCACAAGGGGCCAATGGGGACTCACCCATTCACGTGGCATCTCTTGGCCTACATGGAGCCAAGTCGGGGCTCACCCGTTCGTGCGGGGTCAAAGGGGACCCATCCGTTCACGTGGATGTACAGGCCCGTCCCTTGACTCTGATATCATGTTGAATTTCAGGTAGACGGATCATGGGCCCACTCCAACAACACCGATACTGTCCCCAATTGGCCACATGCTCAATTCGTCAGGTGTGGGGTTTTAATACAAAAGTCTTGGTGTTAGTTAGAATGGGGTAATTCTATTTAAAGAGCTTGTTCTCAAGCCTTCTGGCCGATGTGGGACAGAGGAATTCTAACACTTAGAATGTAAAGAACATAACAAATTTGCTTTGAGTAATATAACTACGCCCACGTTAAAAAATCACCGAATAATTCAATGTGGAAAAAGTGAAATTCTTGAAACGCAAGTAGCTAGGCAACCAATTGATGCAAAATGATATCACAAACTTTGTAGAAAAATAGAGAGCAGAATATACATTACATACAAACAAGAGAGAGAGAGAGGAAGCTAACCTACTTGTTAGCGATTCACTAATTCCTAATTAAATCCAGAGAAATAAAAATAAAAATAAAAAAAACTTACACGCGACTAGAGGGTTAATATTTTTTTCTTTTTTCCCTTTGGTGAAAAACCATGGTCATGAGGGTCAGTAAAAAGCTACGTGAAAGGAGAGGAAAGCAGATCCTGAGTTTAAGGATCAAATGATCTGAGTTGTTGAAATTTGATCAAACGGTTACAATTATTATAACTTTTAGGGGGACCCCTGTTTGTAACTCTAAAAGTTAGAATAATTGTAACCGTTGGATCAAATTTCAACGGCCCGAATCATTTGATCCTTGGGCTCAGGATCTTTAGATCCATAGAGGATCTGGGAGTGCAACATCTTTCTCTTAAGATATTATCTTTTACCTTAATTAACTTGGCTCCTAAAGTTTTAAGGAAACCCAGCATAAAAATGAAAAAGAAAACAAAATAAGGAAAATCGGCCAAATGGGTACTTCGGTCAATTCATCCGAATCATACGGCACACTCACACGCAAACGACTGGTATTGCATAGTGACAAGTAAGAGATCAAGGTCTTTGATTTCGATCTTGACCCTGATCATGTGGTGGCAGGCGTTGGAAAATGATGGGTGCACCGTATTGTGGGTGAAGTAGCATCAGGACGGTAGGTGCATGTTGATAGGTAGGGGCCAGCCTGAAAGAGAAGCGTTGAAGCATGATGGCAAGGGCTAGTTTAGCTTGCAACAATGCTAGATTCTGCCCGATGCATGTGCGGACCCCAAGCCCGAATGGAACGAACGCGACCGGATGCTTCGCGGCCCGCGCCACGCCCTCTCCGAACCGGCTCGGGTTGAACTCCTTCGCATCATTCCCCCATATGCTCTGATCGTGATGAACGGCTATGATTGGAATCAAAAGCTCGGTCCCACGTGGGACAGTGTATCCCCCGAGCTCGACTTCTGTTCTTGACCGTCGAATCGTTGCGATCGCAGGCGGGTACAAACGTAGTGATTCGTTGACGACCATATTCAACTGCACATCATATCATATCATATGTCCGTAAATAAAAGTTAGAAAATAAAGAATAAAATAACTAAAATACCCTTGTGCCTAACTTTTGCATGTGAAAATGACTATACTAGCTAGTGAATATTTTACAAAAAAACATGCAACATAAAAGCAAAAGGTGTCCATTTGTTTTTTAGCAGGAAACAAACATTGGACAAAGACAAAACATGATTTACATACACTGTTCTAAAAATCCTCGCTTAGGCCCCGTCTAGGGCTAGGCGGTTGACTACCGTCCTCATTAATGTATAGACATTTAAAAATTTAGAAAGAGCGTCTAGACCTGCTGAGGCACCCACCTAGACTGCCTAGGCACCTGACTAGCCTGCCTAGGCACCCGCTTAAGTTGCGACTCACTTGTATAGAAAATAGATAACTTTTATTTTGCATTTTTTTTTAATAAGTTGTAAGAAACTTGTTGAATACTAAAATGAACACAAATTATATACTTGTTCCTCATGTTTTCATTATGTTTCAATACTTCATAATATATATGTCATTATATTTTATAATTTATGATGTAATTATATATATTTTAAGTATAAACAGACATTTATTTACACAAAATATAACATATTTACTTAAATCTGTCTAGCTGCCTAGGCGTTAGGCCCCAGCACACCGCCCGACTAGCGTCTAACGTCTTTTAGAACTTTGTTTCCGTCCCAAAATAAAGCTTCTGATTGGCTTACCGTCTTAAGCTTTACAACGTCGTCTTTAGTGGGTATGTCACGTGATCCACACACCCTCAGCACCTCGTCACGTGCCTGTAGCTGCCACAGTGGGTGCATTGCTAGGAGAACCGTTGTCCACGTCAGCAAATTGGATGTGGTATCTTTGCCCGCAAAGAAGAAGCTCTTGCATTCTTCAACAATGTCGTTGACAGTGATATTGGAAGAAGGAGAAGAATTTGAGGCCTGAATCATAAGACCTAGTAAATCTTTCGGGCATTTTTCATGCACGTTTTCGCCCGAGTTCGAATTCTCTACCCGTCGATCGATCAGCTTCGTCAGTGACTTCCTGATTTGCTTATCCAATTTCCAAGAATTTATGTTTCGTTTTGTGGGCAAGAATCTGAAAACTCAAATGAAAGTTAACCCTTAAGTATCGCGGGTTATAAAGTATTAAGGCGAAGTTGAGCTTTTAAACAAATAAAACGCTACTTTTACTATATTTTCATACTATATCTGTACATAAACAAAACGTTACCTGTAACCAGGGATGGAAACTTTTTGAAAAGCCTCGGTAACAAACGCCATTTGTTGAGCTTGTAGCCGGAAAACGGCTTTGCCATCTTCGTAGCTGCTTCCGAACGCCGTGCGGGTAATTATATCTTCGGTTAGGTTTTGGAACCACTCGGATACTTCAATCTCGACCTCACCGGAGCTGGACATTGCTGACCATTTGTCCATCATGTCTACTATACTCGTTGCCATCACCGGTATCAACAACTGAAACCAGTAATCATTTCCATCAATAATTTTATTAGGGTTAAGTGAATATAAACAATAATTAGAGAGTTAACTAACTGTTTACCTTGAGATTCTCCATATGGAAGGTAGGGGTAATTATTTTTCTATGGCGAGCCCATTTTTCACCTTTGAGGCTTAGGAGGCCATTACCTTCGAGCTGTTTAACGAGTGGGTGAGCCTCATTTTTTTCATAAAATTCTGATTTTGAGGTAAATATTTCCCTAATTAGATCAGGATCAGCAACCGTGAGTCGAACTGTAAGTCCAAACCACACAAGAAATGTTGCACCTGCAGTAAAAATATTGGAGAAAATTAAACAAAGTAAATTAATTAGGTAGGTTAAAATTTAAGCCATAGGAGTTAGCTCAGTAGTGACGATAAGTAGGGTATTGAGTGTAGTAGTAGGCTAGGTTTAGGATTTGAAATATTTAATGTAACCTGAAAAAAAAATGTACGTTAAAATAAAATAAAATAAATATATAAAATTAATAATGGAGGAGTAGTTATAAGATGGATAGTGTAGACCCTACAAAGAGAGCAAAAACAAAGAAAATACGGAAGAAGACAACTCAAAACGAAGCTATTAACAATACAAAGCAGGAAAAGACAAGTTCATTTGGGAAACTCAAGCCTTCCAAAAAACAAAAGAAAACAAGACATAAAAACTGAAAAAGTGGTGAAAGCTTTACTCCCGCGAAAAAAGTTGAACATTTTCATCATCTTTCACTTTGAAGAATGAAAAATTATTCCATTGGGAAAGGGGAAAAAAGGAGTATGATTTTTTCCTCTTTTAATTTTATTTTTCTCCAATATTTTTATATTTAAACAGTTACGATAAGCCATGTCAATATCTAGTGTTAAGTTTTTTATAGAGAGAAAAAAAAAAAGAGAAATCGAAAGAGGAAGAGACTGGAGATAAGAGAATTTGAAAGGGAGATAATCCTACTAAAAAAAGTTCATTAACAGGACATTGTTACCATGGAGGTTTTAAAAGAAATGAAGGGGGCAAAAGCTGCGGAAAGAACAAAATCTCAACTTCAACATCAAGCATCTAAGCTCCCAAGAAGGAAAAAAAAAAAAAAAAAAAGCCTGAAAAAGGCTTAAGAAGTACCCAAAACTGAAAAGAAAGCCTTTCAAAAAAGCCAGACTCTGAGCATCACAAAACCAAGGTAAAGGAACAATCATGCATAGTAGAAGAGAGCACACACCAATAGCTACTTTAATGGTTTTCAAGGGGAAAAAAAAAAACAAGTTAAATTATTATTAACACCCTTTCATCAACTTGTTTAGAGCATTCAAACAAAAATTAACAAATATGTCAATGTAACATCCAGATATTAATGTAAAGGTTTTGAAACAAGATACTGGAACATTTTTCGTTACACCTGAGGTCCGGGTTTGAATCCCTCTACTCCAGTATTGTGTAAAAACAAGGGAAAGGATGACAAGCCAAACAATTGAAAACCCAGTTGTTGAAACTTGAAAAGACTTCAAAACAAGGAACCGAAAATGATGAGAGAGAGAGAGAGAGAGAGAGAGAGAGAGGGAAGTACCATAGGTTTTCCTCCAGTGATGGTAAAAAGGAAGAACTCTAGGGAGAATATGGTGAGAGGAGGAAGGAAGGGTTTGAGAGGAGGCCTTGATCATCATCCCAGCAAGTTCTTTGTAATTTCCAATGAAGAAACGGTAAGGAGGTCCTCTGATCCCTTGCTTCCCAAAATGTTCTTCGATTTTCCTGGGCCTCCACCAGAGAACCACCGCCATCTTCAGAGAAAAAACCAACACCATTAAAGATATGCAAACAAATTTGAGCCACGAAAAGATGAGCTCGTCCTCCATCTTAACGTTCTAATAGAACTGCTATCGTTTAACTTCCTCCTCAATGTGGAGAGTGAAGTAGCCTTTCTTTGCTTGTTTTATCTGCTTTGCTTGTGGTGCTGTTTACTTGTTATAGTGTTTCTTGGGTGGTTTACAGAAAGCAGAGAGAGAGAGAGAGAGAGAGAGAGAGAGAGAGAGAGAAAGAGAGATGGTGTTAATTTAGGAGGGAGAGAGGATATAAGCAAGTGCAAGGCCAACGGCGTAGGGGCCGCCATTGGAATTGGAGAGGGGTCAACGAGCTTTTTTGTTAGTTTCAATTTCACAATGTTACCCTTGTCTTTTTCTATTAGTATTATTGTATCCCCACCTCTTGTTTTCCACTATCAACCTTCTGTCCAACTTTTACATACGGATATATTTTTGCTCACCACCCTTAAGTGGTGATCATGTTTACCATTTTATCACCAATAGATAAGTTAAAATTTTGAGATTTGTGTCAATCCACTAGACAAATCTTAAAATTTAAACTCATATAATGATGATAAATAACATAATGAACATTATCGTCACCTAAGGATAATAAGCAAAAATATTTCCATTCTTATACTTTTCTTTGAAAAATCCTTTTTTTTTTCTTTGTTATATAGCAAGGGATGAACACTCTAATGTGAGAATGTTCCAAGCTTATAGGGATACACTTGCTTTGCTAAGTGAAAAAAATATCTTGTTTCGTTTTAGTTTAATCTTTAACTATATTATTTATTGCTCTTTCGTTATATATTCCAAATTTAAGGATTTAATTAGAAACTTTTCCTCACCTGGATCTTATGTAGGATTATCTAATGACGCATGTTTATGATCATTTGATTTTGTAACACTTAATTTTTACTGTTGGATTAAGTCTTTGATTTCAAAACTTTAGATGACAAATTCAACAGAAAAGACATATTGACGTCGCAGTTAATATGTGACTCGCACAACATTTATTGTATGGTTTCTTGATTAAACTAAAATTATGAGCCCCACCACATGTACATATTCTCTTAAAAACAATGAAAAAACAGATTTGTTAAGAATTATTGATCAGTTAACTCGATGATCTTTATTCAATATTATAATTAAACCCCCATGTTCCTAAATAGTTGATCTATTGACGTTGAAAATAATGAACCAAATCAAGACTTTTTGCACACTATTTTTTCAATCTAGCTACATAAAATATGAAAATTATCGCATACATAATGAACATCTAATAAGGTTTCTTGAAATTAAAACTATACATATTATGTCCTACTAATTACTTAATCTTAGGCTAATTGAAAAGAAAATTGAGGATAGAATGTCGAAGGATTGTTACATATGGTTCCTATCTTCTTCCTATTGTCCCAAAAATATGATTTGGGAGGCGGGACGAAGGAGAAAGAGTGAAGGGCCGGGGCACAAAGGAGCTTTGTAGTTTTGGGACGTTGCTCTTTAATTTGTACACATGGAAACAAGGCTGTCTATTTTAGGGTTTCTATCTGTACTCTAGGTGGGGAAATATGCTTCAGTTGACCCAACACTGGGGTACCCACGCAAGGGCACCCTCCCCTAATCGTGTCCTAATAGCCCCAAGACATGTTGGGCCATGTGCCCTTCCCATACGTCCTACAAATTTAAAACAGACTCAAAGGTTACACTTGGAAGTATTGTGGCAAAGGGTGGGTGGCAACAATTGCATGCAGCTGCTGACTTCAAACCAAAACTTACAAATATCGTTACCACTTCGTGGCCAAAACACATAGAGTAACCGTTCACACTGACCTCTACTTTGATGATCATCAATTTCACACATACAAATATATAATACATAGACAAAGTAACCGTTCACATTGACCTCCTCTATTTTGATGATCATTATATATATCTGTGTGTGTGTGTGTTTAACCAAAGGGAACTGATCATCAATTACACACACACACACACAGATATATATATATATATATATCTATGTGTGTGTTTAACCAAAGGGAACTTGTTCAAGTACATAGAAACATTGTATGTTGTGGGGACAAAGGGCATGCGAGATTCATGTGGCTCGATGCGTATGTTAGGTGGTATAAGGCCACAAGGGGTGATGAGGTGGTCACGAGGCTTCTTTTAGATGGCTACACTTGCTAGTAACCGGTGTTCATACTCACTATATATATATGCATCTCTCATCATGTTACGTGATGAAAAATACAGAAAGAAGAAGAATAAAACATGTTCCATGCATGCATGCAAATGCTTTTGCCTACATAGAACGATGCAAACAACACCGGTCTAGACTATGTAGAGCAAGTTAAACAAGAGTTGTGACCAAACTTAAGTAAGACAGTTAAGCATGCTTTAGGGTTTGAAAAGCTTTAGTTAGGTGTGACGGTAATCTGTGTACGTATTTGAGTATGTGTCAGTGTGTGTGAGAGAGATTTCAAAGAGATCTGAGTTCACTCTTGAAAAGTCTGTTCGCTGCGTTCAGTGTCTATAACTTTAGTTAGATAGTGGTTTGATTCGAACGAAACTTTAAAAAGAGTAAAAATAAAAACATGAATATTTTCTCTGCAGAAATGAAAAAGCCAAAAGGACAAAGTAGAATATGCAATCACTTAACAAAGATATGGAGTTTTCGAAAATGACCAAAATAATCCAACCAAGAAAAGGCTGCAGCCTGATGAGGTACCTTTGCTTGCAAACTTATATATATTTGGTTTTTCATTTCCCAACCTTTATAAGAATACAAATATAAATAAAGAAAAACTAATGAAAATTGTTTGAAAACTTTGAGTTTTAACGATAAGGAAAAAATAAAGGGTAAAGTGAATAGTATCAAGTTGACTTTTTAGTGCAAAAATATAATTTTTCATTAAAGTAAATAGTGCTGGAAATTTTTCGTTAAAGTTCTTTATAAATAAATGAGACCAATTGAACCAGAAAAACTGCAGTTGCAGTCCCATATATAATTTATTTAATATTTTGTTTGTATATTTGTGTATTGTCACTTCATGAAATATGCATATTTCTGAACTTTTATAAATTGTGTTGTAGAAAGAAAATTCAAAATTGGATTAATAATAATAATAATAATATTATTATTATTATTGTTGTTGTTGTTGTTGTTGTTGTTGTTGTTATGGGATGCAAATGAATTGAATCAAAATGATTGAGATTTACTGATAGACTTTGGACCCAAATGTGAAATGAAAATAATTGACTATAAAAGAATTGGAACTTTTATAAGGTGATAGTTATCAAAGATTTAGTTGGTAAAGACGATTGGTACGAGCAAAAGAAGAGATTTGCACACATGCTTTTGCTAGCAAATTCCTCTCCCCACCCTACCTCATATTTTTCTTCTGATGAACATCACAAGTCACCGCCCCCCGCCTCTCCCCCACAATGACTTCAACCTACAAGCAAGGATAAAAATCCAAATCTAACCAACCATTTTGGAAAGATTTTTAAATGTATCTGGAAAATGATGGTGTGTATATATTATTATATAAGTAGAGGAATTTTTTTTTAAGTATTCATTTACTTATATATTGACATATGATGTATGTGCCCGTGTTCCAGGCACTAGAGATTTTTCAGTGTGTACCATCATGTGTCACTATACAAATGGTAAGATACTAGTGTTAAAAAAATTAACAACTTAAAAAGTAAAACTTTCCATTAGTTATATAATAACACATGATGTACTATCTGTGTTCTGAATACAACAAAAATTTATCTTCCTGACATATTGAAAAATCTTTCGCCATATTGTGTCCACGTGTCATTCTATATATGGCATATCTGGCCAACTTGATCTAATTTTTACAAATAAAAAATTAATTTAACTTCTATGATGAGAACTGAGAAGTTTAGTTGGAGTATCCATAGGTACTCATGCCATATCCAATTTAAACGAGAGAGTTAGTGATCAAATTTTCATCCGAGTAATAATTTCATTGTACTTAGATTTGATTTGATTTATTAGGACTTATGGTCAAGAAGTGCGCACTTAATTAGATGGTCAACTAAGAAACAGAAAGACAAATTTCACCATCAACTTAAAAGATCGAGCATGCGTATGTGCGCTTTTAGCAAAAAGAGCACGATTTATGTTAGAGGATTTTCTTCCTCTTTCTAGCTTACTTGTTAGGCATTTCACGCTAGTATGAGTTCGATATATTAGTACCATATTTATGAGTTTGATATTTTAACTTATAAGTTTAATATATGAACTCATGAATTCAATATATTGGTATTGCATTCATTTTTTTCGGCTTATTGTGAAAGATCTTAGGAAATGACACAATTTCTTGTTGTAAAATGATATATGTGTTTACTTTCCTTTTAAAAAAAAAAAAAAAAAAAAAAAAAAAAAACCTGCGCTCTAAGAACTCTTCACCAACATGTAGCCTCAATTGAATTTTGGATGATATAGTTTTAGTATTTGAGTATGGTTAGTGGCAGAGCAAAAATTTTATGTGGTGAGAAACCGATAGGTAATCCAGATAATATAAAGAAATTATAATTGATATACAACTTGTGCAAGTCAAGGAATAATGTAAACTTGCTCAAATGGTCTGCGAGGGAGAATCTGAAGTTTATACATGGTTACGCACATAAATAAGAGTAATGATGTTCCATTTGCTATATTATTGTTCGTACTGCTAATCCCATCTCTAAAATAAACTTGTTTAGCAAGGAAATTGTAGATAAAACACACCTATAAAAATAGGTCATATGTAAATTTATTTTTGTAAAAGATGTGTTTAGTGATATATATATATATAATAAATTTCTATACATCTTGGATTATAATGGTTACATCAATCCTTGTTGTCATTATAAGACGTTTGAAACTTAACTCCAATTGTTGGTATTTTTGGTACTTTAGTTTGAAATTGAAGTGAATTTATCATTAACTTACTAACTACAACTTAAAATGAACCACAACTAAACATCAAACTCACTAAAAACACACATTGTCACCAAATTTGTATGAATCTAACCTATAACCTCCTTCAATTACATAAAAGCTGAGAATAACTAGGCTGCTTGTGTGTGCACAATTATATCACGTACTTCGATTTGGTTGATTTGTGAGATCATATACACTCATATCATGTATCTGTGAATAAATAAAGATATAAAACGAGAAGAAATACTAACGCAATTCTTTTAAAAGTGAAATTTTTTATTCTTTATGTTTTTAGCATAATATTTTATAATATTAATATAAAAATTAACATTAAATTTTAAAGTAACATAAAGCTTATAAAAAATCTCATTTTTCAAAGAGTCCCTTAACATTTCTTTAAAACGAGTTTTCGTCCACTCAATCAACGGCGTGACGGGTCCAGGCCTTCCAGGCTCCAGCTGCACTCTCTTATTATATCTCTATCCAAGTCAAATCATGGATTTCCACGTGTCACTCAATCATTGACATTTTCTCTACATTTGTCCGCATGCAAAAGCCTTTCGTTATGTCAACTCGAGCTTTGGCAGATTCAGTCTTCCTCTCTTTGATTTCGCAAATGGATCTAGCCGGATCTTTTTCAGGAATCTAAGGAATCTTGTGATCGTGATCGTTTATTGTATATCGTACAATCAGTTTTTATTAAATATTATTCATATTTAATTTAAAATTTTAAATTTTAAAATGATTTATGATTGAACAATATATAATATACAAAAAA